GTCTTTTTATGATATCTAGGTTGTTGCAGCCAATATGGTCAGGACCGAAAGTTCATTGTCTGGCACACATCTGCTCTGTGCTGTTGGGAGGTATCAAGAAGCTTGTTCTCAGGTGGTATTCTATTTTTTGATTGGTATTTGTTGCGTACCTTTGTTATCTATGATCTAAATTCCACCTATTATTATTCTTCACTTATCTTGGAGTTTTACTTGTTTGATCTTGTGTCATTCGATCTTTTTTCTGTGTGTGCGTAGTGCGTACTGATTAGGATATGAGGCAGATTTTCCTGTTTCAAGCTTACCCTGTACCTGTTGATAATGCTTTCTGTATAGCACTATAGGCTCTATACTTGTATTGCTCACTTTAAACCATTTTCTTAATCTTTGTAACTCATCTATGGCATTTCAAGGCCCTTCCTTTCGTTTGCTGGGTTATTCATCATTTGGAGTGCAGTTTTCATCTGAAATGAATGATGGGCATTAAAGCTTAGCTGTAAACAGTCCTCTCTCCCATTCCATTTGGCATAAAATAGTGGAGTATTAGCGTATGAGACACCCTGCATCTCTGTTTTTGTTGTGTTTCATTGATTAAGTTGCTGAATGGCTCCTGGGATAAACTGGTTGAGTGGTGGCCAATAATTGAACTTCTACCATATGGGAATGTGCAACTATTAGCTCCAACATTATTCAAAACTCTAGGTAGTTGGCACTTGACAGTAGTTCCCAATGAAGACTAAATAGTGCTTATGGAAATTCTGTGTAGTCCAGGTCGGATTGCAATTGTGATTACTAGAATTAATTGGGTGACTTGATGTTTGCTGTGATCACCTATGCTCATGGGCAAGTCCATAATGAGCTGCAACTGTGTGCAGAAAATAGATCCAAATTTTGTTGGGGGAGGGCGGTGTGTCTAATCTTAATAATGATCCAACTGTTTCTGTTGCTTATTCACCAAAAAAGTATAAATGTGCCTTTGGGAATTCTTGGTACTCTTTTAACAATAAAGTTTATTTTGTTGTTTTATGGGTAGATGTCCTTGTGCTTTATGTTGGTTGTTCTTTCTTTCATTGGTCTGGCTCGTTTTAACAAGTTTCTTTCCTAATGGAGTGATGTAGGCTGCTTAGCTACAGCAGGCTTGTCCAGATGACTACACTAGTTGTGCCAGTAAGTTAGATGCCACAACTTTGACGAGGTTGTAATATAGGTGGTAGTATAAAGCTTAGCTGTCACCCGTATACTAGTGAATCTGTGATTACTTTGCCTTCTTTTTTACATATACTCACTCCCTGTGTGTGTGAGTGTGTGTGTGTGTGTGAGAGAGAGAGAGAGAGAGCAGGGGTAAGGGTGCCTACTGCATACATGCATCTGCTTCTACCAGATGAGAGAATGTCAAAGAAATGGATAAAACTTTATCTTTCCTAGTTTTAATGCTTACTTGTTATAAATGAAACATGAGTTATCAAGCTAACTTCAGCCAGATTGCCATACCAGTTCATTTACAAAAATTATTTTTCATTTGACTCAAAATTTGCTCTTATATTTATCTCATTCTAGTCATGATATGCTGTGGTCTCTATTTTGGTGGGGGAAAATAATGTTATGTCCCTGTTTGACTTATTTTTCAATAATCGTGTTTAGAAGACCTTGATTTCATCAAATGTGATCCAGCAGGGTGTTGCAAAGGTGGACCGAACATGTCCTCCATGCTGAGCATAACATCTGGAGGTATTTGTTCACCTCAAGATTTTTCCTCTCATATGCTGTATTTTGAATGCTAATGTTGGTCCAATGCAGTGCTCTAATTTTATTCGTTGCAGCTGGTGCATTGCAAGAGGCATTGACGGCACTTCGTGAGGCACAACAACTAGACACCGCTGCCATGTTTATTCTTGCTTATCATGAAATCCGTGCTGAATTCATCTCCAGCTTGGATTCAGATGGAGAATCAAGTCCTTCAAACAAGGAAAACTGCTTATCTTGCCAGGGTTGAATCCGGACAGTGAAGATGCTATTGAGTTGGTGAACATTTTGGGCAGTCCCAAAGAAAATTAGTGCATTTGTGCATGGACTCACAGCCTTTTTCTGACTGAGCAGCCTCACTATCACGGTTATCTGGTAAGCTTTCTTTTGGATCTCTATGGTCTGTTCTACCACTGATGAAATTACGAGAGCAACAATTCAGTGCCAGTTGAAGCATCCCCTATAAAATTGAGTGATGAAATCACTTGGATTTGGTACACCAGTGGGAATTTCCAGTTGGATGAATTTGAACAAAGTGGGCTTTGGGGAATGTCAGATATATCTGGAAAATCTGCATCTCCTTGACTGAGGGTGGCACATTGTGGCAATCCTTNTGAACAAAGTGGGCTGTGGGGAATGTCAGGTATATCTGGAAAATCTGCATCTCCTGAGGGTGGCACATTGTGGCAATCCTTATAAAAAGAAATCATCATGTCGAGGCCCGTGGGTGATGATGTTGTGGTAGCCTTTTAGAAGATTATGCGAGCAACATAATTTTATTTTCGACTCTTCACATTAAAATGCAGTTTGGGAACCAACATTGGTTGAGAGTTGTACATTTATTCAAAAGGGAAAATTATTGTATCCACTGTATTTTGGGCAAATTCTACAATTCATTTATGTAATTTTTATCATTTAGTATTAACCCGGAGAGTTCATGTAGTTCTCCCCGTTTAGGCCTCCCTTAGTCATTGGTTCGCAACGGGTATGAGCTAATTCTATTATGGTCACCATTTGTCTACAACTGTTTGTAATTGTTCCTCTCTACTCTCTTCCGCCGGTGAAAAAAGAGAGAGACGGGTACAGTTAATAGCAAAGAGTATAGGGTAGGATCCGTCTGCCATTATCTACTTCCTTAACTCACCCCTCCTAACAATAGTATCGCATTGGCACCGTTATAATGCTTTGTTTTAATAAAATAGTCCGATTTTCCTTTTCAGGATCCACTCAATAAGGTCCCTCGTGAAGTCATTCTCAATCCGTCCCTCAGTAGGCAAGTGACAACTTGCTCTCATTGCTGGAGCAGCTTGGGCTGTCCATCGGCGGCCCACAGTTGTGGGCCTGAGTAGTTTTGTTTTTGGAACAGCTGAACAGCAGGATGTGACTATTTTCATGCTGAATATTAGAAATTCTTAGTTCAGAAATTTGTCAAGCCTAGGAGTCAACATAGACTAGAACATTGATTTTTGCAAACTTCCCCATCTACTAGAAGTCTTTGTAGCTAAGAATCGCAGGATTCGAAAGCTTAACAGTAGTGTGTAAATTTTATTTTATTTTTTTGGACAAAGGCATGCACATGTAACACACAATAGTCCACACACCAAAGCTACTCAAGCACACTGAGATGCTACAAAATTGGCATGATGACTCAATCAGAGTGGGATGCCAATAACTCGGGCCAATAAAAAAAATCCATGTGCAACAACATTACAAGAATTACTTGATACGTTATGCCACATGTCAGTGCAGCTATAACCCAAATAGCAGACTGCAATGGTCCCAAGAGTTGTCATTTCTCTCATCTTCAAGGTTGATGGCAGCTTGAAAGACGTTCCCATGGTTCGAATACAAATGTAAGGCGAGCTTAGTTAATACTTCCTCAATATACACTTGATACCGACCAAAGAATCTATAGAGCCGCTGTCTTTGCTTATTTCCTTGCTTGGCTACCCTTGAATGGCTTGCCTCTCTTTCACTCTTTTGGATGCATCGGATCCCATATAACAAGCAAGCTCAGTTCTTCTGATTTCCTCTTTTTACCACAAAGTATGGCTAGATCGAAATTTCAGCAAAATGACTAGATTGTCTTGCTTTACACCAAATGTATAGAAGCTCAGATCATTCCATCGTAAGTTTTTTTTAAAATTTTTTTATTGAGTAAGGAAAATATTTACAAGAAGCAAAAGGATAAGCCACAAGTCGGCTTTAATCCTTGAAAAACAACCTACTGCCTTAAGAATTACAAACCAAGAAAAACATATTCCATAAAATAGCAGTAAGCTCGCACTAGACTCCTCAACACCTTCATCAGCACCTCAGCAACTCAGCTTCCCATCAGAAAATCAACAAAGTCAGCTTCCATACTCCCCCACACCCCTGAACAATACAGCACATCAACCCATATCATCAAAAACAATGAACCTCTTCTTTCAGAAGCACAGGGAAGCCTCTGATATACTGGGACACAGCAAGCTTGACATTACAAGGCAATTCCAAAAAATCCGAAAAAGCCACAGAATTCCTGAACCGAACAGCATGATTCGCTAGGCTATCAGCAATCGAATTCACCTCTCGAAACACATGAACCAGCAGACATTCCACAACATCCATCAAATACCTAATCTGGTCCCTGATATCTAAAAAAGGCCAAGCACAGTCACACTTCCCAAGAACTGAATTTACCAGAACTAAAGAATCACATTCAATTGATAAACCATAAACAAACAATCCATGATCTCTTGCTAACTGTAACCCATTCAACAAAGCTCTGAATTCCGCAGCCATATTAGAACATTCCATCGTAAGTGCATGGTGACAGAACATCCCAGAAGCCAAAACGAAGAATTTCATGTTTTGAAGACCGAAGCAATTACGTTTTTCACCTTCACGAAACAATCCAAACCTGCTTCGACCTTTCCTTTGTTTCAAAAGTATTACCACTAAGTAACATGACAAAGCATACTCATCCAAGAAACTGCAGGAGACATTAAATTGTGAACTCGCATTCTTATAATTTTCAATATATGTACAGTTGGGCACTGAAATTTGAAATTTTCGATTTATCAATAATTTGTGGTCATAATGAAATGATACCGAATACGAGACAAAGGACAAAGTATTTTACGCCTTACCTTCTAGGTTCTTATATACTAGTGAAAGAATCGCTTACAACATCAAGCAGACCCCAGCTCCTCAAACTCGGTCTTAGTCACACACATTGCTTCAAAATCAGGACTAGATGCCAAAAGTGAACCCCCACGCTAAACACCTAAAATAGGACTGTCCAGACAAGAAAGTGTTTACCTATCTAGAAGTAGCAATAAGTTTTAGGAAACAGTTTTTCAGATACAGAAGGGCTTACTCTTCTTGAGTAGTTATCTTCACTTGGTATATATCAGGTACAAGAGGTCGGAGATCCCTTTCTCTACAGTGGAACAAAATTATTTGTGGTGAATTCCAAATTATCCATTACGAAAATATTTCAAAGCAGTGGCAAAAAATTGAAATCTTACAATCTTTCAGCAAATCGAGGAAAAAGTGTGCTTTCACCAGTCAATATAATGCTGCCCAAACACAAATTTGAAAAACAGGTTAGTGCTACAAACCAGACATGCATACCAACAAGCAACCACATGACGAATTTTCACTGGTAAAAAATCTATGGATTCCCAGTAATACCTTTCATAGAGTACAGGGTGAAGATGAGGATGGCAAGAATTGATAGCTTTAACAATGCACTCTGCTAGTCCAGCTTGATTCATTCCTGCAAAATGTCCACAAGTCAAGGACACTGCAGGTTGTAAATAAGGAAAAAGAACGAGAATATATCAATCAATGAATCTTGTACGCAAATTAAACAAAGATTTTTTGTTTTTTTTTTGGGCTAATGAAAAAATTGAAAACCTCATAATATAAAATGCTATACCGACCCAAATCAGCAGGACGAAAGATCATCTCTGGGACAAGGAAGCGCTCATTTGTCAAAGTAAACTCCTGTTAAAAAGGTAAAACATTTAGATATGGGGTCTTTGGCATGGACTACTTTCTCAAGGGAAAATGTATAGTACAGTTTGTGTTAAATCAATTTTTCTTCTGTCCTCGGGCTTTTCTCTAACTTCTAGCTGATCCATGTCCTCTTTTCTTTCAGGTTGCGGAGGTAGGACTCCATCTGTAAAAGCAAGGTATCCATTTGCCTCACCTGGATCTTTTACAAAACCCTTTGTGTGTGTGACACCATCAGGAAGAACATATGTGCAACTGAAGTAGTTGTCCTTTCCATGTCGTCTGTAAGAATATTTCAGAAGGAGTGAGCAAAACAAGGCAATAAAGGCCTTCATAAGAAAATTTTGACTTTTGTAATAATAGATTATGGTCAATTTTGAAGAGAACATGATTCATGCTTTCCCAAGCCCCGAGCTTCAACTTCAAAATCTGTCCTGAATCATGTTTTCACATAAATTCATCCCCCATAGTAACATGACGTTCCTTCTAAAACATATGTTCAAAAAGAATTGACTCTCTTTGGTTCTTGATGCTAGTTTTCTTATGCTCCACCAGTTTACCATTCACACTAGAAATTTGTTTGGAGTTTATGGAACCCAACAACCAATGGAATTGAAAAATTGCTAACTAATTACATATCCTCATTACGTTGTAAGTTGGTACCTGGTTTCTCTCCGAAAAGGGATATAAGTCACCCTCACAGCCTCGAGATATTTAATCCCACAAACATATAACTATCTTTCATGTAATATCAGCAAACACGACATTAAACTACATCGATATAATTATCAGTTAACTGGAGCTTTTTGCTTTCTCAGATCCCAAATAATGGAAAACCTATAAAGATAGGAATTCCTCTTTTGATCCGTGCTGCTTCGAAACAACCAAACATAGAATAAAGTGAATTCATTTCTTTTAAAGCCTTTATTCTCAACATGTTCCATAATTTCCATTTGAACAAACCCCTAAAAGGCTTAGGATTTATAATTATCCTAACCATATAGAGATAATATTCAGCAAGAGCACTAGTTTTCATTGAATAATTCAATTTTCAGTAAGTGGCAAAAATTTGATATACTGGTAGGAGGTAATGTTCAAATGCAAACGCCTAATATGATTTCTTTTTTTCAAAAGGAAACGATAATAACACTAATTTTTAAAGTAAAAAGTACTACAATAAAAATAATTCAAAGGTGGACAAGACGTCCAATCCAAAGACAAGTTGAAACAAAGTAAATATAACAAAAAACCAAAAATTATTTCACATGAATCTCTTCAATTTGAGATGATGCAAAAAAGAGGAAAATTCTCACACTCTTTATACAATGTTCCCAAAAGGAGGCAATCTCATAGACCTTCGACCTCCTCACATTTGTCATAAAAAAATTCTCACATTCCTTTTCAACTAAATAACCTAAACAGTAGCAAAACAAGCATAAATCCAAGGAATCTCTCGTCTTCTATTTCCACCCCACTTAGCAGTGTGCAACTATTCATAAATCCGACTATGACTCCGGTTCGCCTCCGCCTCTAATCAGAGTCGGAGTCAAAGTTTGAAATCTTTTCTGACAAAACTCTTATTCTGACTCCGAAATTTATTAATTAATAATTTTAGAAAAAAATTATATAAGATTCTTGTCTTTGAGACACATGAATTAATTAGAATACATTTTGCTTAGTGTTTAAGACATAGAATCATAGTATCAAATTTAAAACAAAGGATGCTAACAATGTGAATACTAATCATGCATTTTATTAGAGAGAAAGTCAGATCAAGCTTTTCATTATAGTCTGAAATTATTTATTTTACATATTAAAAACAAAATGAGAGCTTATTGTAAATAGATGGTGGGTTAGTCATATTAATGGTCCCAATCCAACTGTAGCCAATCCCAATCCCCACCCCAATTTAATTTTCCCTCTCTATCTCAACTTTGACCGGAAAGAATCAAATGAGGAAAACCTATTGCTCCATCCTCCATCGACAACAACGATGGCTGAGATTCACTCCGCGTAGATCCAACGTTCCTCATAAATTCATAATGGATGGGATAGTCAGCTTCGACTGCCTTTGGAGCCCTATCTCGTTGTGAATCCAACCATAGCCATCAATCTAAGTTCAAATCCGTCATCGTCTATCCCTCAACGGTCAATCAAAACTTATCTACATGATTCCTTCGCTTTTCTCTCACTTCGAGTGCCATTGTTTATGGGTTTTTATCTGAACATTGTTTGTGAATTTTTTTGAACACTGTTCTTATTCAAATATGATTATTGGATTCTAGGTAGGGACGATGATTTAGGTGTGGATTTCTTTGGATTTTCGATGATCCTTTAGAAACTGGTTTTGGGTGTTGCAATTTCTGTGATTCTTCTACGATTTTTGAGGTCCTTTTTTAGATCTGTTTCTTCTTCAAGCAATGGAGATGTGTTGGTGGTGATGCTCTGTTTGCAAATTGTACTATGTTTGTGCTTGTTTTTCAGTAAGTAAGATGAGGGATAGAGGAGTAGAAAAAGGGGAAACAAAAGTAACAAAATCTACAGTGGATTTATAGTTGATTTGCAACAAAGAAGAAACAGAGGATGACAAGACAAGGCACGTGAGGGGTGCATAAGTCACTGAGACAAATAGGCCTAGCCAAACTGGTCAATAAGCTCAGCAAGCAGTGAAAGAGCTTGGCTCTTACCAAACCGTGCTGCTCAATGATTCAAGAAGTAATGAAAGAGGTCAGTGCTCGTTATGACTGAGCTGTTTCAAATAGTAGATGGAAAGATAAAGATTCACATATAACTTAGGCATCCAAGATAAACCAATGAGCTTGATTCTAGGTCAAGGGAATTGCCAGAAAGATTTCAGCAGCTATCCAAACTGAATCGCTAAATGAAAGGAAGGTGTGCCACCTTGAAACGAAAATCATGCAAACCCTAATCAAAGAGGGATCTATAAAATGAACAAGAAACCATAGTGAAAGTTACGCTGAACTCTCCTTATCTTTTTTCAATTGTCTCAGTTCCATTACTAACTTAAGCATCGGAGTGTCTTCGATCGAAGTACTTTTATCTTGGGCAGTTTGTTCGTTTTGCAGAACAGAAAAATTGAGAGATCAAGTTCAAAAATATTCTTTACCAGAAATATCAAATTCAATCTTTAGTGAGAGATATCATCGATTTTTATCTCTTACATTTTTTGGCGCCGTGTGTGGGAAGATTTTCATCATTTGAAACAAAAAGCTACGATGTCGAGACTTAGGAGTGCCATTGGATCACCCCACAGGCAGTTTTGCCTTGGAAAATTCCGATCCAGTATCGTTTCCACCTAACAATAATGATAGGTTGCATGCCAACAGAAGCCTATCTAGACCTCATGAGGATGATGAGTTATCCTCAGCCAGTTTCAAACCATCTAGGGATCAAAACCAGCAAATTGTGGGTCGTGGGGAATCCCTTTGTGCTGAGGGGGAGAACCACTCCTTGGCGAAATTGGTCCAATCCCTGCAAGACAGGTTGGATGCGCACAAAAAATTATTTAAGAAATCCTACGCCAGGGAAAAGAGCCTGATAAAGGAGAATGAAGATTTGAAAGCCAAGCTGAAGGAGATAACCCGAAAAGAGAAGCGTGAGAGGGACAATCGATGAGAAAGTCCCGAAAAGAAACATGATAGAACCAAGAATGCCAAGAATGATAAGTACTAGCAAAAAAGACCTCGGGTTCTAGAGGAGGACTCTTGGAAGTAGTACATCATCGAAGAACTAAACAACCGCTTGAAGAGGCCAGAGCAGAGGTCGGCTAGGGACCTAGCCAAAAGGGCGACCAAAGAATACGGTAACGGCTCAAAGTCATCTCTTTTTACTTTGTGGATTGAAAGGGGGTGTATCCCAAGTAAATTCACCGTCCCAAATTTCAAGCTTTACAATGGAAAGACCGACCTAGCCTCCCACATCAGACATTTCAGACAGTTGATGACCATTCATTAGCGGAACGAACCTCTGCTTTGCACAATCTTCCCAAGCAGTCTCGGGGAGTTGGCCATGAAATGGTTCGATAGCTTGCCAAATGGATCGATAGATGGATGGTCACAATTGGCTGAGCAGTTCACAACTCGGTTCATTACGAGTAGTAAACAGCCAAAAGATATGGGAGCCCTACTAACATTGAAGAAGAGGAATAATGAAACCTTGCAAGCGTATGCTCACCGTTACTGGGAGACGATGAAAGAGGTTGAAGGATGAAATCCTGAAATTACGGTTGCATCCTTCAAAATTAGGTTGCCAAAAGAAATCCCCTCTACCAATCACTCACCAGGAGGCCAGCAACGGAACTAGAAGAACTAATGGCAAGGATCGAGAAGTATGTCAAAGTCGACGACGACCTATCCAAGGATGTGGTTAAGGAGCATCAAGGCAGGAGACAGTTCGGCCGTAATAAGCAGATCGAACCAAGCAGGGATGGGGGAAGAAAGAATGAGAAGGAAGGATTTCCCCAGAAGTCCCCCTTTCTTGGGGTAAATACATTGTTCAAAGAACCCATATACAGGACATTGAATCAAATCAAGGGAAATCCATTTTTCAAATGGCCTAACAAGCTAACTGGGGATCCTTCGAAAAGGATCCCAATTTCAGATGCTCATATCATTGGGATGTAGGACACATAATCGAAGATTGCCGATCTTTGAAGCAGCATCTGGAAGAGCTGGTCTAGGCTGGGCATCTCACCGAATTCATTGAAGCTGGGGCAAGAATCGACGGAGGAAGGCCCGAANCCGATCTTTGAAGCAGCATCTGGAAGAGCTGGTCTAGGCTGGGCATCTCACCGAATTCATTGAAGCTGGGGCAAGAATCGACGGAGGAAGGCCCGAACCTAAAGGAGATCAAAACACACCAGCTGGGGTAATAGATGTGATCCACGCTGCGACAAATACGCAGATGTCAACAAAAAATGCAACTAGGGCTTATATTCAGAAAGCTGCAAAAGAAAGAGAAGTCTATGAGTTGCGACTGACCCCAGAGGTAAGGAATAAAAGGATTAAGGTAGAAGAGTCAACCGAGGCCATCTGCTTTACCAAACAGGATTTGGTCGGGGTTCATCAGCCACACAACAACGCGTTGGATTGCCAATTACGATGTAAGGAGGGTTCTGATTGATCTGGGGAATTCCTTTGAAATTATGTACATGGATCTCTTCGACAAGCTCGGACTCAAACAGGAAGATCTTAAGCCCTCCAATACTCCATTAATCGACTTTAGTGGAAAAACAGTTCTTTCTAGAGGGAAGATCACGCTGCTTGTGAAGATTGGACCAGTTGGCGTCATGACCGTGTTCCTATTAGTTGATACATTCTCGACTTATAATGCAATATTGGGATGGTCGTGGCTATATGAGATGAAGGCGGTACCATAGATGTACCACCAGATGTTGAGATTCCCTTCGTCTGAAGGAATAGTGAACATCCGAGGAACTCGATAGCCGAGGACGNGAGATGAAGGCGGTACCATAGATGTACCACCAGATGTTGAGATTCCCTTCGTCTGAAGGAATAGTGAACATCCGAGGAACTCGATAGCCGAGGACGATAAATAGCAATCAACGCTCAGCAGCTCAATCGATTCCGTTGGCCGAACTGACATAAAAAGCCCTAAACTACCTTTAGGCGCTGAAAAGGAAGTTATTGACCGCATAATTGAAAGCTTGACTAAAGTACCTTTAGACAAAGACAGTGACCAGAACAAGTCCTTTTTGTTGGGAACTATTCGTAGCCCTGAACAGCAAAATGAGCTCATTACCCTACTCCAAGAGTATGCTGATGTTTTCGCTTGGAGCACAAGTGATATGCCCTGCGTACAGTCAGAAGTGGCATGTCACCAATTGAACATTGACCCGAACTTCAAGCCAGTCAAGCAAAAGCTCAGAAGGTTGGGCCCTCAGCATCAGGAAGCAGTAAAAGAGGAAATGACACAACTGCTAGAATCCCGAACCATCAAGGAAGTACAATATCCGACATGGTTGTCAAACACCGTGGTTGTGAAGATGAGTAATGGGAAATGGAGAGTTTGTGTGGACTTTACTGACCTCAACAAAGCTTGTCCAAAAGACAGTTTTCCCCAACTAAAGATAGATCAATTGGTCGACATAATTGCTGGACATTAGCAAATAAGCTTTTTGGATGCTTACAGGGGATATCACCAGATCCCTTTTGTCGAAGAAAATCAAGAAAAGACTACTTTCATAACGCCTAAAGGAATGTACTGCTACAAGGTGATGTCTTTCGGATTAAAGAACACAGGAGCTACATATCAGAGGTTGGTAAACAAAATGTTCTTGCACCTGATATGCATCACCATAGAAGTCTATATTGACAACATGGTGGTTAAGAGTAGAATGGCCATTAGACACTGTTCCGACCTTGACCTGAGAAGCACATTCGACGTTCTGCGGAGATACAAGATGAAATTGAATGCCTTGAAGTGTGCATTTGAGGTCGGATCAGGGAAGTTCCTTGGTTTCCTGGTGACCCACTGAGGTATAGAGGTGAATCTCGATTAGGTTAAGGCGATTGCAGATCTTCAATCACCTAGGACGGTAAAAGAAGTGCAGAGGCTGACTAGGATGACAGCTGTGCTCGAAAGATTCATATCTCCAGCATCTGATAAATGCAGACCTTTCTTCCAATCAATCAAAGAGAGCACTTTGGAGTCAGGAGTGCAAGGAAGCATTTCTAACTTTGAAAGCATACTTGGCCTCCCCACCAATCCTTTTAACACCATCATCTGAAGAAAGCCTATTCCTCTACCTAGTTGTATCGGAACACACAGTGAGTGGGGCATTGAAGAGGAATGACTATGAAAAGTTAAGACCTGTCTATTATGTGAGCAAGATGCTCTTACATGCTGATTCAAGGTATACTCCATTGGAGAATCTTGCGCTCGCACTGGTTAGCTCGGCTAGGAAGCTCCGACATTATCTCCAGGCTTACCAGATCACAGTGCTCACAGACCAGCCATTGAAGGCGGTCTTTCAAAAAGCCGACCTATCCGAACGAGTAGCGAAGTGGGCAGTAGAGCTCAGGGAATTCGACATTGCGTTCGAACCGAGAAAGACAATCAAAGGCCAAGTAGTGGCAGACTTCATTGCTGAGTTTCAACCTAAAAACAGTTCAGAACAGAACGAGCAGATTAATAGCGATCAAGAATCAGGAATCAATAACAAATGGACCCTTATCTGTTGATGGGTCTTCTAATCAAAAGGGTGCTGACATTGGCCTCGCTTTGAGGAGTTCGAATGGTTGTATTTTGCTGAAATCCATCAGACTCGGCTTCTAAGCCTCGAACAACGAAGTTGAGTATGAAGCTCTAATAGCTAGAGTAAGGCTAGCAACCGAACTGGGGGCAAAGAGGCTCTAGATATTCCCTGATTCACAACTAGTGGTAAATCAGATAATAGGGGAGTATGGGGTAAAGGATCAAAGAATGATGGCGTACCAAGCCCTTGCAAAAAAAGAACTTAGCAAAATTCCAAAATACACAATCCAGTAGGTTGGAAGAGCAAAGAATTGACATGTCAATGCATTAGCTTCACTAACTTCGGCCATTGATCAAGACTGAAAGAACTTTTACCATTGAGTTCCAACCCGAGCCTAGCATTTTGCCGACCAGAGTTGACGAAGTCCTACATAGCGAAACCGAGCCGATCTGGATGGATCCAATAATTAGCTTATTAAAGAATGGTAACCTACCTGAGGAAAAGAAGGAAGCTCATAAGCTACGTCTGAAGGCTGCTAGATTCTGGCTATCTCCGAAAGATGAGCTTTATTTATGCTCGTTTGGGGCCCGTATCTAAAGTGTGTACACCCGAAGATAATCCCAAATTTTTTGTCTGAAATTCATGAAGAAAGCTGCGGTGCTCATACTGGTGGGAGATCCCTGGCCCACTGAGCCATCTCTAAAGATTTTTGGTGGCCATATATACAGAAGGACGATCAACAGTTTGTGAGACGATGTGAGAAGTGTCAGAAATTCTCACCGATACCAAGAAAACCATCACAGGAATTGCATCCATTAGCGAGCCCATGACCATTTGCACAGTGAGGTCTAGACATAGTGGGACCTCTACCTCTGGTAGCTGGCAACAAGAAGTACCTTCTAGTTACAACTGATTATTTTACGAAGTGGGTGGAAGCCGAGCCCCTAGCCAACATCAAGGATATTGATACAAGGAAGTTCCTCTGGAAAAACATCATCACCAAATTCAAAATCCCACATACGCTCATTTCAGATAACGGCCAGCAGTTTGATTGTAATCCCTTCAAAGCTTTCTGTTAGCATTATGGAATTCAAAATCATTATTCCACCCTCGGCTTACCCTCAGAGTAACGGGTAAGCAGAGATTTTTAATAAGACAATCTTGGATGGAATCAAGAAAAGGTTAGAGAACACCAAAGGGAGATGGGTGGAGGAATTGTCGAGTGTTTTGTGGATGTACCAAACCACACCTCGACGCTCAATTGGAGAAACCCCCTTCACCCTAGCTTATGGAATGGAAGCAGTAATTCTATTAGAGATCGGCCTGCCAACCCTGAGAACCGAGCTGGTCGATAGCAACAATAACAATGCCGTTATCACCCGAGATCTTGATATGACAAAAGAGAAAAGAGAACAAGCAGCTATAAGGATGACTTTTTATCGCCATCAAATGTCCCGAGCTTACAACAAAAAGATTAATCCTAGATCTTTCGCACTTGGAGACTTGGTTCTTAGACGGGTACTCGGATCAGCTAAGAACCCAACACATGGGAAGCTTGGAACGAACTGGGAAGGTCCATACAGGGTGGTCCGAGTAGGAGGTAGTGACTATTATGAGCTCGAAATCTTGGACAGTAAAGCAGTACCATGCCCCTAAAATTCTACTAACTCGAGACAATTCTATTTCTAAAAAATGTCTTTTTAAATAGAACTCTGAAGTATCTTCGGAAGCTTAAGGGTGCCCCTTAAGAATGAATCAGGGTTGAACAAATGTACTGATATGAACAAGGGTCATGAATAAAGATTTTTTGAAGATTCATTTCCTTATTTCTTCTATTGTTATATATGTCCTACTGTTAAGGCAGGGAGGCAAAAAATCCTGATAGAAGTTACAGACTTAAATCAAGCGCAGCCACTCGATCTAATCCATGCCCTCAACTAGGCATGATGATGTTAGTCGATCAAGAATAGATTTGAGTCCAATTACTGTAAACCGAGCTCTTCGAGGAAGGGGCGAGCAAGGGTCATAACTTCGAGAGTTGAAATTTTTTTTCAAGTATATTTAGGTTCCTGTTGAGGAACCGAACTCTTCGAAGAAGGGCCGAGCAAGAGCCATAACTTCGAGAGTTAAATTTTTTTCAAGTATGTTTAGGTTCCTGTTGAGGAACCGAGCTCTTCAAAGAAGGGCCGAACAAGAACCATAACTTCGAGAGTTAAAAATTTTTTCAAGTATGTTTAGGTTCCTGTTGAGGAACCGAATTCTTCGAAGAAGGGCCGAGCAAAGACCATAACTTCTAGAGTTAAAATTTTTTTCAAGTATCTTTGGGTTCCTGTTGAGGAACCGAGCTCTTTGAAAAAGGGCCAAGCAAGAGCCATCACTTCCAGAGTTTAAATTTTTTCTATAGTACAAGAACCAAGCTCTTTGAAGANAAAATTACATCATTTTCATGACCCTTATTCGAGTCAAGAAGATGGGTTACTAGATATCGCTCCTTCTTCCTGACAGCGAGGTAGTAATTGTCACCAGTAGGCTTGATGATATAATAATACAAAATGTCCCAAAGACCCAGATTTAGGCCCAAAAGCTTGTTCAAAGCAGATACCCCCATCACTATCCTAAAGAAATTGGGGCAACATTGGAGGGCGCAAAGCTTTGCGGCTGAGAAAACCCAGAGGAAGAAAGGATCAAGGGGAAATCGAACTCCACCCTCAGTGATGGCACGAGTAAGAATGGAGATACTCTCCCTTGTGCCTATTAAGGGTTCATCCTTTCCAGCAACCCTTATCTCAACGTCGCTTGGAACGTTATATTTTACTCTGAAAACTGGGATTTCTGAAGAGGTGAGAGGTGCCATTGAGGAAGATGAACGCAAAAAGAAGAAAGGTAGTGCAGATACGAAGAAAGAGATGAATCTAAAACTGAGAAGGCAAAGTGACAAGAAAACGAAGAGAAATCGTTTATAAAGAAAGATAATTCTAAAAGGCAATATTTAAATACAAAGCAAGCCGCCAAAATAAAGGGAGATGTCACGAAGTACGTGCAATGATGACAAGGAGGCATAAAATGATTGACATACGAAAGGCGTCTGTCAGACGTTTTCTGGAGGCAAATGAAGGGAGTGGTTCCCTTTATTACACATGTTATGACATTAAATGAGCTCACGTGAGGATGACAAGACAAGGCACGTGAATAGGGGGCATAAGTCACTGAGACAAATAGGCCTAGGCAAACTGGTCAATAAGCTCAGCAAGTAGTAAAAGAGCTCGACTCTTACCAAACCATGTTGCTCAATGAGTCAGGGAGTAATGAAAGAGGTCGGTGCTCGTTATGACCGAGTTGTTTCAAATAGTAGATAGAAAGATAAAGATTCGCCTATAACTTAGGCATCCAAGATAAGCTAATGAGCTTGATTCTAGGTCAAGGAAACTGCCAGAAAGATTTCAGTAGATACCCAAACTGAATCGCTAAATGAAAGGAATTTTTGCCACCTTGAAACGAAAATCATGGAAACCCTAATCAATGAGGGATCTATAAAATGAACAATGAACCATAATAAAAGGTACGCTGAACTCTCCTTCTTTCAATTGTCTCAATTCCATTACTGACTTAAGCATCGGAGTGCCTTGGATCGAAGCACTTCGATCTTGGACAATTTGTTTGTTTTGCAGAACAGGAAGATTGGGAGATCAAGTTCAGAAATATTCTTTACCAGAAATATCAAATTTAATCTTTAGTGAGAGGTATCATCGATTTTTATCTATTACATTTGAGGTCCTTTTTTAGATCTGTTTCTTCTTCGAGCAATGGAGATGTGTTGGTGGTGATGCTCTGTTTGCAAATTGTACTATGTTTGTGCTTGTTTTTCAGTAAGTAAGATGAGGGATAGAGGAGTAGAAAAAGGGGAAACAAAAGTAACAAAATCTACAGTGGATTTATAGTTGATTTGCAACAAAGAAGAAACAGAGGATGACAAGACAAGGCACGTGAGGGGTGCATAAGTCACTGAGACAAATAGGCCTAGCCAAACTGGTCAATAAGCTCAGCAAGCAGTGAAAGAGCTTGGCTCTTACCAAACCGTGCTGCTCAATGATTCAAGAAGTAATGAAAGAGGTCAGTGCTCGTTATGACTGAGCTGTTTCAAATAGTAGATGGAAAGATAAAGATTCACATATAACTTAGGCATCCAAGATAAACCAATGAGCTTGATTCTAGGTCAAGGGAATTGCCAGAAAGATTTCAGCAGCTATCCAAACTGAATCGCTAAATGAAAGGAAGGTGTGCCACCTTGAAACGAAAATCATGCAAACCCTAATCAAAGAGGGATCTATAAAATGNAGGGAAGATTTCTTCCTTGCTTGAGGTGTCTGATCCCGAGCAGTTTGGATGGCCTCTCGATCTGCGACAAGAGTTACGTTTGGTTGGTTCGGCACAACAATGAACGAAGTATAGGTTGGCATGTATCCCAGTAGCGTATGAGCAGCTCGGCAAAACAAAGATTCATTGAAGTCCCAAACTCTTTTAAGTTGGTCCATCTTCACAAAAGACTCAGGAACCCTGCCTTTCACAGTCTCTCCTTTACACGGAAGTCTTATGTCAGAAAAGCGGTAGAGCCAAAAAAAAAAAGCCAATTTGGAAGAGTAAAAGATTCAAATACCTAGAACACCTTCTTCATAAGGGCAGCAATATGATGGAGTGGCATCAGCTGTATATTCCCAATTGCCGGAAACAAAAATCACATCATTTTCATGACCCTTATTCGAGTCAAGAAGATGGGTTACTAGATATCGCTCCTTCTTCCTGACAGCGAGGTAGTAATTGTCACCAGCAAGCTTGATGATATAATAATACAAAAACCCAGATTTAGGCCCAAAAGCTTGTTCAAAGCAGATACCCCCATCACTATCCTAAAGAAATTGGGACAACATTGGAGGGCGCAAAGCTTTGCGGCTGAGAAAACCCAGAGGAAGAAAGGATCAAGGGGAAATCGAACTCCACCCTCAGTGATGGCACGAGTAAGAATGGAGATACTCTCCCTTGTGCCTATTAAGGGTTCATCCTTTCCAGCAACCCTTATCTCAACGTCGCTTGGAACGTTATATTTTACTCTGAAAACTGGGATTTCTGAAGAGGTGAGAGGTGCCATTGAGGAAGATGAACGCAAAAAGAAGAAAGGTAGTGCAGATACGAAGAAAGAGATGAATCTAAGACTGAGAAGGCAAAGTGACAAGAAAACGAAGAGAAATCGTTTATAAAGAAGGATAATTCTAAAAGAAAATATTTAAATACAAAGCAAGCCGCCAAAATAAAGGGAGATGTCACGAAGTACGTGCAATGATGACGAGGAGGCATAAAATGATTGACATACGAAAGGCGTCTGTCAGACGTTTTCTGGAGGCAAATGAAGGGAGTGGTTCCCTTTATTACACATGTTATGACATTAAATGAGCTCACGTGAGGATGACAAGACAAGGCACGTGAATAGGGGGCATAAGTCACTGAGACAAATAGGCCTAGGCAAACTGGTCAATAAGCTCAGCAAGTAGTAAAGGAGCTCGACTCTTACCAAACCATGTTGCTCAATGAGTCAGGGAGTAATGAAAGAGGTCGGTGCTCGTTATGACCGAGTTGTTTCAAATAGTAGATAGAAAGATAAAGATTCGCTTATAACTTAGGCATCCAAGATAAGCTAATGAGCTTGATTCTAGGTCAAGGAAACTGCCAGAAAGATTTCAGTAGATAACCAAACTAAATCGCTAAATGAAAGGAATTTTTGCCACCTTGAAACGAAAATCATGGAAACCCTAATCAAAGAGGGATCTATAAAATGAACAATGAACCATAATAAAAGGTACGCTGAATTCTCCTTGTCTTCTTTCAATTGTCTCAATTCCATTACTGACTTAAGCATCGGAATGCCTTGGATCGAAGCACTTCGATCTTGGATAATTTGTTTGTTTTGCAGAACAGGAAGATTGGGAGATCAAGTTCAGAAATATCAAATTTAATCTTTAGTGAGAGGTATCATCGATTTTTATCTATTACATTTGAGGTCCTTTTTTAGATCTGTTTCTTCTTCGAGCAATGGAGATGTGTTGGTGGTGACGCTCTGTTTGCAAATTGTACTATGTTTGTGCTTATTTTTCAGTAAGTAAGATGAGGGATATAGGAGTAGAAGAAGGGGAAACAAAAGTAACGAAATCTACAGTGGATTTATAGTTGATTTGCAATGAAGAAGGCAAAGTTAGGGCAAAAAACTAAGGGGGGAGAGAGAGTGGGAGAACAAGGGAAGCAAACTCCGAAGCTTCGTTTTGCCTTCGCAAGACGGAGTCGGAACGGAGTTATATAAGGTCTGAGTTGGAGCCCACCCCTAGCCCCGCTCACACTTCCATACCAACCATAGAAAACATAGTTCTAAGTGCCACCCAACAATGACCCATATAGCTAAATAGATTGTTACATAGTGAGAGTGCCAGAGGACAATGTAAGAATAAATGATTCACATTATAGCATTTGTTGAACAATCTTCATAACAAACAATTATTTCTTAGCATCATTTCATTGTAGAATCCTCTCATTATATCACTCCTTAACATCATAGCATTTCATTATAAAATATGTACAATCATTTCATTACACAATCCACAAATTATAAATTCATTTCACTTGTTACACTACCAAACAGAGAAAAAACCAACTTGTAAATTAAGGTTATTACTCAAGAGAATTGAAAGAACTCGGGCAAAAAAGCTAACCAATGCATGAACACAACACTACAAACCAACCAAAAAAGCATTCTATTAAACTGAAACAACACATAAATCAGCCAAAAACCAAGTTCAAATTGTGATACTAATACGTTGCAATCTGCAAATCTTGCGCAACATCAAGCGAGACAATGCACAACTTCTCTTTAACATCATCCATAATAAAAGTCTCATCCATAACATTCACTGCCCTATAACTCACCAGCTCCTTCAAGTAATTGATCAATGCCTTTCCACCCAAATCCAATCTTTTCACAGCAAAGTTCATAGTGTAGTTCTGAAACACGAGAATTGCATGGGTAAAAGAAAACCCAAAGTCCACCACAAGACTACACTGCGTTTTTGACACCAACCCATAAGGCCTTCTTGAGGCCTCATAAAGGTGGACTAAAGCTGGTGGGTCAGTGACAAATAGTGAATTGAAATTGAACTCTTCGAAAACAATCTCATCCATTGATGTTTGTATAGAGGGTAGGTTGAAGAGGGGTTCAGTTAAGAGGAGAGAGGACTAAGATGGAGTGATGTGGAGGAGATTAGTAAAGATGTGGGACCAGAGAGAGGTTTGGAGGTCTGGGTTTATGAGGTAGCCGCGGTCGACGGGGCGGCAGAGAGTGGCGGAGGTGAGGTCTGCAGTGGGGGAAAGGAGTGGGTCGGCTAGTAGCCATTTTTTGGAGAGTGGGCGGCACATGCAGTTGGGGACTACGGCGGTTGNAGCAGAGAGTGGCGGAGGTGAGGTTTGCAGTGGGGGAAAGGAGTGGGTCGGCTAGTAGCCATTTTTTGGAGAGTGGGCGGCACATGCAGTTGGGGACTACGGCGGTTGGGTCACGCTCGCCGCCGATTCCGGCCTTTATTAGGCCGGCGCCGTTGTCAAGAACCACCACGTTTGACATATTTTAGGTGGGTTTTTGGGTTTGGTTTCTTCTATTCACTCTGGCTGTGGCAATGGTTAGGGTTAGGGAGGTGAAGATGGAGGCCCATGATGTATAGTAGCAGAGCCCATTAGACATAACAGCGACAACCGAATTTTAAATTCAGATATTTTAACTTTGAATTGAAAAGAAGATTAATTGAGGTGTACATAAATTAACTCGAACACTTATAACCATTAAATCAAAATAAATACCCATTAGCGCAGGAATGGATTTGGGTAGGATTTGATCATAATCAAGTCCATTGTTTTATGAGAATTTCAATTCTAATTTCATTTTCATATATTTTAGCTATGTTTTTTCCTTTCCATGCTCTCGAAATTGAAAATGTTAGATAAAAATTATAGTAACATAACGAAACATTGTAAGTACATTCTTTTTCAAGCAAAAGAAAAAATGTTATTTTCGGGTATTTTCCTCTTATGTCCTAGGCCAAATCGTTGTCCTTTCTTATTTTTGTTTTGGCATTTATTGAGAGAATAAGTCCAGTTCAAGCAGCCAACCTATATTCATCTACACCAGTTGTCAGACACGACCCAACAACATATAAAAGTCATCATGTTGGCATATTCATCACTTATAATTCTTCAACAATTTTGTGACCCAAATAAAATATTTCTTCAAACAATTATTCTAGTAATTACATATCTGATTTGACATATAGACATAAGTTCCATCTTAAGCAATAAGTGAATGATAGTTGATTAATGAGTTAGAGAGTGATAGTTATAGTGGAATTACGATAGAATGTAATGAAACGTTAAATAAATAACAATTTATGGGAATTAGGCATGTGAGGATGGAACGTTTGTTGAACCAGTTTTAAAATTTTAAGAAATTAGAAGAAAAAACTCATTAGGCCCTCCTTCTGACTCGATTCTTTTGATGTATACTAATGGCCAACTCATGTAATGCATAAAAATTATTTATTGTGTTTGATTTAATGGTCAGGGTTATTCATATCAGTCTAGTCAAAAATATGTCATCTATGCCAAAATTAAGATATTCATAAAAGATAAATCTCTCATTACCTAGATCTAAGAAATTACTAAAATTTGAATTCAAAACATCTAAATTTATGATGTTTAACTACCCTTATGGTTGATGCATAAAATTGATGACATCTCATAACTTTCATCGTTACCCTCCTCCATGTTCACATCTACCTTAACACTAATATAATATTATCCAATAAAATTTTAAATTGATATTTTTAAATGTAGGTGTAAAATAATTGACAAAAATGATTAATAAAAAAAAGTATGTATATTCAATAAAAGATAGTGAAAATAGTCACAATGTCGCGTGAAAGTTAATTTTTTTAATTTATTTTTTAAATAGTAATTGCTTTGATTGGTAAGCATGTGCTATTAATTTGAATACACTAAAAATAAACAATTAAGTTTGAAATTCGACTCAATACAAATAAATTCATTAAAATTTAATTTTATTGAATTATGGCACATCTATTTAATCGTCAAAAGTCCAAAATTTATAATATAAAACAAGACGACTTCAATAAATTTATCGGATAATTTCATATTCACTCGGTCAAAAAATTAACATTTTATCCCTTAATCCAATTCCTTGACATCCAATTTTTTATCAATGACAACGGTGATACCATGTCACTATTNTTATTTAATCGTCAAAAATCCAAAATTTATAATATAAAATAGGACGACTTCAATAAATTTATCGGATAATTTCATATTCACTCGGTCAAAAAATTAACATTTTATCCCTTAATATTTTTCCCCAATTCCTTGACATCCAATTTTTTATCAATGACAACGGTGATACCATGTCACTATTGATAATATGATATCATGAATCAATAATAAAATTTTAAATGAAAAAGTTGAATTCTACTTGAATTTACATAACAAAAAAGTTGACGGATTAATTATTGATTTTTGTAAGTTTAACCTATTTATTTGTTTTATTATTATTAATCGGCGGTGCCACGTCACCCGACCACGTGGCTTCTAATGAATATTTTCTCCAATGTCAGAGACCTATGGCTCATAGCCTCCCTTCACACCTTCTCTCTCTCTCCCTCTCCCTCTCTCTCTCTTAAGCCATCTCCACCATCGCCTCAGCGACACCGCCACCCACCCGCCTCCCAGGTATGTCTCTCTGCCTCCCTCTCTCTCTGTTAATCGGCTGTGTATCGTACGCACCTAGCGCAATCTAATTGACCTAACCAGATCGCAAAACCCAGAGTTGCAGCTGGTGCTCATCTCTGTTCGTTGCTACACTCCGCGGCTCAAACACCAATTAGGTACTGTGATTTTTCTTCGCTAATTTGTTCTCTATTTTAAATGTTATTCATTTTCTCTACCTTTCTCAATTTAGATCTATCTTTCCAATCTATCAATTCGTTCGATTTCAGAACTAGGGTGTGTGTGTGTGTATCGTTTATGTGTATGAATGTTTCATTTTTTTCTAATAATTATGGGGCTGTTTTATGTGAATTTGCGACGATTTGAGCTCAATTCTGAGATGTATAACACCCATGTTTCTTCTTTTTTTGTCTGTATAATGTTTACAAAGAAATGAAGATACCTAAAAGAGCTTGGAAAAAAAAAAGACTATATCTTGGTGGTTGTTATACATGTTTATTGATTTCGAAATAGTTGATAGTGAGTGATTTTATGAATGTTTTCAAATTTGTTTAGTTGTTATATTTATTGTGTTGATTTGTTTTGATTTGATAAAAGTGACGGATGATAATTAGTTATGAGTATTACATTGTGTATGGTGGGTCCTATACTTGGTTTAGATCGTCTTTTCTTTAAATATAAGCTTTTCTCAATAATAAACAATTTGTATTAATTTCTATTGTTTTAGAAATGATTATGAAATATAGAGATGGTGTATAAAGGTTGATATTTTGATACGGTCCTGCTTTTAGAGGAAATTCTATCAATTTTTTTTTAGAAAATTATTGGCTAAGTTGGATTTCAAATTGTTTAATTGAGTAAAAAGGAGGAAAAATAAATTTTTATAAATTAAGTAACAATGAAACATAAATTTTGCTCAATTTTTTTTGTATTACGTAGGGCTTTTAGATACATGTCATTAATCTTTTTTTGTTAGTGTTGAATATTGGTTCTCTCACTTATAAGTCACAAATTAGTTGGCTCCACTCATTCGATTGATTTTTGAGCTGGTTTTTTTTTTTGAAAAGTATTTTTGAGCAAGTTAATGATCACTTGATATGTGTTGAGAAGGGAATTTAGGAATAGGATTTTGAATAAGCACTCGAGGTTAGGGTTGATTGTGGTTGTATCGAAATTGAAGACCCGGGACAGTAATTATCTCAGAGTTTTGCATATTGTATATTGATTGTAGTGGGTTACTTGAAATTTTGATTTATAAGAATATTTTATATTGATTTGGGAGGGTGATTGTGTACAGGTTGCATTGAGATTGTAGCTTTGGTGAGGTAGTGTGGCAACATTGTGGTCTATGTGCATGGTGTATGCAGAGACAAAATAGGAGGCGGGAGAGTGAAGGACATTAGTCCTTTGATCCTAATCGTTTAGCGTCGCCTATCTACATTAGTCCAATAACCACATGAGGGCTAATGTATACATCTCTAAACGTTAGGGGGAAGTTTCAAATCAAGTGATGATAAAATTATCTTAGTTCTAAAAATTTAATCCCACATTAAAATGTACAAGTGATCTCCAAAACATTTATATCAACAGAAGGGGTGTATGTAGTTCTGTTTTCTAAATCATAAGCTGGTAATTCTTTTGGTCACAAACGATAATTGCCCACTTAGTCATTTCATTACTAATTTCAATATAGTTATATCTTTATCTCATTTTATAGTTTTTTGCCAAGAACGGGTAATTTTCAATTAGCGTTTTTCATTCTTAGATTCATTAAAAAACATGGTTGTTTTTACATATTATAGCTATAATCGGTTTGAGAGTTTTAGGTTGGAAATCTCTTAAATTTTTTTTTTCTGCTGCAAAATATTCACATACTGATCGTGTACATGTCCTTCTCCCTGAAAATGGGTCAAATTGCACAAAAAACATTGTGTACCCTGAGGTTTTGTTGTAACATGTAGTATTCTACGATAAATAAATGGTATAATTTCTTTGCAAGTTTAATTCTACTAATGACAATTATTTTAATAATGTTATTTTATCTTTATAATTGAATTTAATCTTTGTAGAATTGGAATGAAGAAGTGCGCGAGTTAAATATATAATAAATACAACCACGCTTTCCCGATGGGGATGTGCGAATAAGGTAACTAATTTTATTGTTTGTTGTTTATTATTTTCTTTTCTAAGTTTGTTGTTTTTTAAATTATGTTGTGTATTGATTTTATTGTTTTTGTAAACAATATGTTGTCATACATTCTCCCAACTGGTGGATGTGGATATGTGTTGATACAAGGACTTTGAGGATGATAATAAAGAGAAAGTTTGATAATATTAATGATGGATGATCAATTTCGGTAAATTAGATTAAAGATTGACCCATTTTACAAGTGTACAGTGTAATTACGTTTGGTGATTATTCTTTCATCTTATGGTTAATGTTGTTGTGGTAGTTGGTAAAAATAGTTGTGTTTATAGAGGATTGTGGTTAATATTTTTGGGAGATGTTCTACTTAAATTTTTTATTTCTCTTATTTTGCAAGTGTACAATATATATTTTGATTCAAATATATAATCCAAAGTGGAATATTTTGAATTAGTCAAACCTGATTTTTGTTGATTTATTGAGGTAGAATTGGTTTAGAAGTAATTTATGTTATTTTGTTGTGTGATAGAAGTTGCTTGAGACTAAGAAATTTAATGGATTGTTTATAAATTTTTGAAAAAATGGTTGTACTACACTCATTTATGTTTGGATCGTCACATTTTCGTGTATTGCTATGGTGCAGTTGGTGTTTTTAGTATGCTTTTGAGCCACTTTGGATACATAAAAGGCAACATAGATTGTTGAGTCTTGATTTAGTATAGACAACACAATTTGGTTGAATTGGTGCAATATAATATTGGGAGTTTATAGTTTATTTGTTTAATTAAAATTTTATAGAGAGTGGATTGTGTAATTAGCGTTTTACAAATTATCTAATATAGATTGATAGTTTTTTGCAGTTCGATTTGTAGGANAGAAGGGAATTTAGGAATAGGATTTTGAATAAGCACTCGAGGTTAGGGTTGATTGTGGTTGTATCGAAATTGAAGACCCGGGACAGTAATTATCTCAGAGTTTTGCATATTGTATATTGATTGTAGTGGGTTACTTGAAATTTTGATTTATAAGAATATTTTATATTGATTTGGGAGGGTGATTGTGTACAGGTTGCATTGAGATTGTAGCTTTGGTGAGGTAGTGTGGCAACATTGTGGTCTATGTGCATGGTGTATGCAGAGACAAAATAGGAGGCGGGAGAGTGAAGGACATTAGTCCTTTGATCCTAATCGTTGAGCGTGGCCTATCTACATTAGTCCAATAACCACATGAGGGCTAATGTATACATCTCTAAACGTTAGGGGGAAGTTGCAAATCAAGTGATAATAAAATTATCTTAGTTCTAAAAATTTAATCCCACATTAAAATGTACAAGTGATCTCCAAAACATTTATATCAACAGAAGGGGTGTATGTAGTTCTGTTTTCTAAATCATAAGCTGGTAATTCTTTTGGTCACAAACGATAATTGCCCACTTAGTCATTTCATTACTAATTTCAATATAGTTATATCTTTATCTCATTTTATAGTTTTTTGCCAAGAACGGGTAATTTTCAATTAGCGTTTTTCATTCTTAGATTCATTAAAAAACATGGTTGTTTTTACATATTATAGCTATAATCGGTTTGAGAGTTTTAGGTTGGAAATCTCTTAAATTTTTTTTTTCTGCTGCAAAATATTCACATACTGATCGTGTACATGTCCTTCTCCCTGAAAATGGGTCAAATTGCACAAAAAACATTGTGTACCCTGAGGTTTTGTTGTAACATGTAGTATTCTACGATAAATAAATGGTATAATTTCTTTGCAAGTTTAATTCTACTAATGACAATTATTTTAATAATGTTATTTTNGGGTAATTTTCAATTAGCGTTTTTCATTCTTAGATCCATTAAAAAACATGGTTGTTTTTACATATTATAGCTATAATCGGTTTGAGAGTTTTAGGTTGGAAATCTCTTAAATTATTTTTTTTCTGCTGCAAAATATTCACATACTGATCGTGTACATGTCCTTCTCCCTGAAAATGGGTCAAATTGCACAAAAAACATTGTGTACCCTGAGGTTTTGTTGTAACATGTGGTATTCTACGATAAATAAATGGTATAATTTCTTTGCAAGTTTAATTCTACTAATGACAATTATTTTAATAATGTTATTTTATCTTTATAATTGAATTTAATCTTTGTAGAATTGGAATGAAGAAGTGCGCGAGTTAAATATATAATAAATACAACCACGCTTTCCCGATGGGGATGTGCGAATAAGGTAACTAATTTTATTGTTTGTTGTTTATTATTTTCTTTTCTAAGTTTGTTGTTTTTTAAATTATGTTGTGTATTGATTTTATTGTTTTTGTAAACAATATGTTGTCATACATTCTCCCAACTGGTGGATGTGGATATGTGTTGATACAAGGACTTTGAGGATGATAATAAAGAGAAAGTTTGATAATATTAATGATGGATGATCAATTTCGGTAAATTAGATTAAAGATTGACCCATTTTACAAGTTTACAGTGTAATTACGTTTGGTGATTATTCTTTCATCTTATGGTTAATGTTGTTGTGGTAGTTGGTAAAAATAGTTGTGTTTATAGAGGATTGTGGTTAATATTTTTGGGAGATGTTCTACTTAAATTTTTTATTTCTCTTATTTTGCATGTGTACAATATATATTTTGATTCAAATATATAATCCAAAGTGGAATATTTTGAATTAGTCAAACCTGATTTTTGCTGATTTATTGAGGTAGAATTGGTTTAGAAGTAATTTATGTTATTTTGTTGTGTGATAGAAGTTGCTTGAGACTAAGAAATTTAATGGATTGTTTATAAATTTTTGAAAAAATGGTTGTACTACACTCATTTATGTTTGGATCGTCACATTTTCGTGTATTGCTATGGTGTAGTTGGTGTTTTTAGTATGCTTTTGAGCCGCTTTGGATACATAAAAGGCAACATAGATTGTTGAGTCTTGATTTAGTATAGACAACACAATTTGGTTGAATTGGTGCAATATAATATTGGGAGTTTATAGTTTATTTGTTTAATTAAAATTTTATAGAGAGTGGATTGTGTAATTAGCGTTTTACAAATTATCTAATATAGATTGATAGTTTTTTGCAGTTCGATTTGTAGGAAAAATTGTCCAAATTTTTTAAATGAACACAGAAAAATAGTTGATTAAATATTGATGATTTTTGTTTACCATAATATAGTGCTTTGAGGCACATACATTTTTTCTAATTGTATTTTTTATGATAAATGAAAAGAAAGCATTTTGACTTACTTTAGTTCTCCAAAGTCATAACATTAAGTTAGATAAGTGAATGTCGGTTCTTAAACCGATCATCACTTATTAAGCGCTACTGTTAATTCTAATTAGATATATAATTTCAAGAATATGAATTTCATGCTTTTTTAGTTTAAGTTTATGAGACTCTTATCATTAAAGTTGAGTTTTCTCCATCTTCATATAGGTCATATGTTGTTGATCACTAATTCAAAGTGCACGTGCGTTAAGGATACAGTTGTATCTTCCAGCTTAATATGTGTGTTTATGTTCAGTACTTTATTTTTTTGTGTTCACAATCAATGTTCGGTTTTTCTGAATTGTACAGGCACAGGTTATCGCTAGTGTAATAATGTAATGGGCTATATGTAACTTTGTATTGTTTAAGGGGCTGTTCTCGAATTACTAATAAGTTCTTGGTCATATCACACATAGTTTTACCCATACCCCATGATCCTTCTCTTCTCTCTAGTCTAGTCCGAATCCCTTCCCCTCTCTCCCTATTTCTCTCTCCTCTGTGCTCCACCTTGCCGGCATCTATNGCACACATAGTTTTACCCATACCCCATGATCCTTCTCTTCTCTCTAGTCTAGTCCGAAACCCTTCCCCTCTCTCCCTATTTCTCTCTCCTCTGTGCTCCACCTTGCCGGCATCTATCCGTTTCAGATCTGACCTGTCCGAAACCCATCTGCTTTTGGTCTGACCTGACTAGAATTGTCTTTCGGATCCTCTGTGATTGTGGGGCCCTTGGCTCTGTCTGCTTCTCCTCTCAGGTAAGATCTGATTTGTAAGTTTATGATTTATTTTACTGAAATGTTTGAATTATGTAATGAAATTGAGCGAAACTTGTTGGATTCTTTGGTGAAATTGAGCTTAAAATGTTGGAGTAGTTGCTGAAATTGTTGATTATTTGGTGAAACCAATGAAAACCAGCTGTAATTGGGTGATTTTTTGATAAAATTAAAGCTAAGATTGAGTGATTATTCATCTGAGTGCTTTGTTTTGGGGTAAGTAGATAATTTGTATCATCCGTCATGTGTTTGATTTGAAATGATCTGATACTGGATAGTTCAATAACCCAAGTATTTTATCAACGGAGTTGGCAATGAGAGGAGGATGATGTATTGTCGACTATTCTTATCAATTGGTGTTTCATTTGTTCGGGAGCCTGATCATATTTGTTCCACCACTAGAAGGTTGTAGAAAAAGTGTAATTTTTGCTGTGGTTACAGCTGGGAAAATGATAGTAGAAGTCCTTTTATTTTGCAATATCGACTTTTATTCCATTTTGTTTTGCCTCTATACCAGTTGCAGGTGTGTTTGATAGGTAATAAGACAAGTGGATTGACCACAAGGGGATAGTGGTTCCACCATCTTCTTCTGATATGCGATGTATGGATGGAAAGGGTTTGCATGATAGAGATTCTATTTCTCAATATTGTGTAGGAATTCTTGAGCTCCTTGTTTAGTTGTTTGAAAGGGAGCTGAAACAACTCTTTAGATTGTTCAATAGAACTTGCAGATGATATTAGTTTCCATGCAGGCAATTTAAAATCATTTTTACACTCGTTTCTCCTCTATTTTGCTCTTGCCTGGTACGTGTGTTGCACTTTAATGTTTTCCAAATATTTGTCCTCGAGCATCAATCTTGCTTAGTGAAAAATATAATGGTTGCGTGTTTCTGTTTATCTATCACTATTGGTCTCCATCCGTACATTATTTTATGTTCTTTCATATGTCAATTGATGCATGGCACGTTATTTAACATGTGTGCATATGAGCTTGAAAAATCTTATAAAACTTATTATCACATGAACCAGATATACTTCTTTTTATAATTGGCCTTTCTCCTTTTTCTATTGTACATATTATGTTTTGATGTATTCTATGAAAGTACGAAGTATACTTTACCAACTTGTTAATAACGACATATCAATGATAGATCTGAGTTACATTTGCTTGTATGGCAGAGTTTGAGCACTGGAATGGTAAACTAAAAGGAAGCGTGTATCCTTTGCGGCATTGGTTGTTAAGGTGTATGCATGCAAAGTTGAGATAATGGATGAAATGACATCAGCTGTCATTAATTTAATGAAAACTACATCTGATTGGGTGACTATTGCATTTGAAGCTCCTTTCGCTCGGGCTGTTGTTTTTGGAGTGCATATTGGAGGTAACTTCTAAAATCTCAAAGAATCCAACAAAATATTGTTGTCCTCTTCATTCTTGATAATTTTATCTAGAAGTTAACATTTTTTTCCTTTACCTGTAGGACATCTATTTGTTGAGGGTCTTCTCGTAGTGGTTATCCTCTTCCTACTTTCACAAAAAAGTTACAAGCCACCTAAAAGACCACTAACGAAGAAGGTGTGTGTGGCAGAAACCATGTTTATGCATTACAAACTGCTATATTGTTTTGAAAGTTATTATGGTCTTCATCACTTGATCGGCTGATCTAGAATTTGTTTTATATAAATGCTTTAAAGTATCGATTCTTGACTAGCTATTTCTTAACTTCAATGCAAATTATTATTGTAACAATAAATCTTGGCCATTGAGTTAAAAAATAACATTGTCCATCAACCAGAGCTTAATTTTGGAAAATCAAAGAAAATTAACCTAAAAACCATTTCTAGTTCATTACATAGTTTATAGTGGAACCTTGAACTAGTCCTACCCTTTGCTCATGTTAATGATACTCAGTACAGTAGCTGCTTGTCATCTCCCCAATTTTAACACAAAAACCATGTGTGATCATATATAAGCACAAAAACAAAGCAACTCATTTACCCAAACAACTGTTACGGACACTTTTCTTGGACCAAAAAACTCTTAAGTTGCCGTTAGCATGCAATATGTTCTGGGCTTCCAAAGACGATATGTCCTCTCTTGTTGGGCTATAGATACTACAGCCTTGGAATTAAATCATCTGTTATTATGTTCAAGGGTCATATGCTCATCGTCAGATTATTCATGTTGGTAATGCTGCGTATATTCTCAAACTTTGTTAAAGTTTCTGCTTTCTTTTTCCATACTGAGTGCTTTATACGGGTGTAAACTTTGAATGGAACAATTATATCAAATTTATTAATTGTGCTTGTTAGTTTTCACACTAGTGCAACTACAAAGTTTATGTATCCTATTTTCAGTTTCTTAGTTTTTTGCAACATTCATTTTGATAAATGTGTTTGTTTGATTTCTCGTAGGAAATAGATGAGCTATGTGATGAATGGGTTCCAGAATCCCTTATTCCTCCTATTACAGAAGAGATGAAGTATNGCGACATTCATTTTGATAAATGTGTTTGTTTGATTTCGCGTAGGAAATAGATGAGCTCTGTGATGAATGGGTTCCAGAATCCCTTATTCCTCCTATTACAGAAGAGATGAAGTATGAACCTCCCGTATTGGAAAGGTAAATACTCTGTCTTTTAATTCAATTTCTTATAGTGGTATATTCTTTCGTAGAGTTGTGAGGCTCATGGTTATTTGTTCAATTTTATTCATATGGTTACATTTTATTTCCTTCACCACACCTTCCCCCATCTTTTTTTTTGGGTGGATGGGGGTGGGGGGAAGAAGGTTGTGTTTTCCACATCAAAGTTTGACTTTAGAAAGTTGTTAGTTCTCTTAAGTCTATTATTTAAGTTGTTAATTCTCCGAAGTCTGTTATTTAAGTACTTGAGTATGTATGTTCGAAAAAGATTTTTCATTTTACCATAAGCATTCCTGCTTATGAATTGGATTTTATGCAGTGCTGCAGGGCCGCATACAGTAATCAATGGCAAAGAAGTTGTCAACTTTGCTTCAGCAAATTACCTTGGGTTAGTTGGGCATGAGAAGCTACTTGTAAGGAAAACCTACCCCTTTGATTCATAGTTTGTCTTTTAATAGCGGTGCTTTGACCTAGGGTGACCATTCACTGCAATGTTGTATGATAGGAGTCATGCACATCAGCATTGGAGAAATACGGTGTCGGTTCTTGTGGTCCTCGTGGGTTTTATGGAACAATTGGTATAATTTAAGGCTAACTACTATTGCTGCAGTTTATGTCTTCCACATGAAAAAAAAAAAGCTTCTAAGAATTTTCTTTTATATAGATGTTCACCTTGACTGTGAGGCCAAAATAGCGAAGTTTTTGGGAACTCCAGATTCCATACTCTATTCTTATGGACTCTCCACTATGTTCAGTGCAATTCCAGCTTTCTGCAAGAAAGGAGATATTATTGTTGTGTGAGTATATCTGATCATCTCTAATTATCTGGTGTCCAATTTGATATGACATAGAATTGGGCTGGGAGTTGTTTTCCAAATGAATGAAGATGGAGATTACTAGATGTATATTCTTATCTGGAGATTCAGCGCATATGTTGAAGACATGATGAAACTCTATTTTAGTTTTATTTTTTTTACTGGGGTCATTTTAGCTAATGTAATTTGATGACATAAACATGAACTTTGAAAGGACAGCATCAGTCCCTTCAGAAGTGTATCTTGTTCGATTTGGCATATGTATTTTATTGCATTGAATCCTAGATACTCTTTTTCTAATATCGTTTTTGATCTTCCAGGGATGAGGGTGTACATTGGGGAATACAAAATGGACTTTACCTCTCTAGAAGTACAATTGTCTACTTCAAGCACAATAACATGGAATCTTTGAGGAATACTTTGGAGAAATTTACAGAAGAAAATAAACGAGCTAAGAAGCTAAGGCGCTACATTGTGGTTGAAGCTGTGTATCAGGTATCTTTGTCATCCATGCTTGAATTTGGCACAACTTGTAAGTCTAAGCTTAAAGAATATACACATCCATGTGCGCTGTTCAACACTTTATGAACGTTGTTGTCTGTCATCGCTCTAGCTTCATAACAATTCAAAATCGTGGAATTCCTTATAAAAATATATGCATAGGCTTTGGACAACAATGATTATATCTGTCAAAGAATTATCCAAGTAAATTACTGATGCCAACCATGTGCTAAAGAAATTGACTATATGTGCATTGAGTTGCGTCAATAGGTCTTGTATCAATTTGCTTGCTATGCATTACATATCCTTATCTCTCTTTTGTTCTCTCCTAAGAAGCATAGACACAGATAAGAACACAAACACAAACACAAACACGGATATAACACGACACAATACAGATACGTAGATACGACATTTTTTAAAAAAAGTAAGACACAGACACGTTAGAAATATGCTATAAATAATTGTGTTTTATATATAAAGTTATATAATTTATCACAAAAATACGGTGATAATGAATAATATATCATAAAAAATTCAGTACTTTGTACTAAGTAATTTTTATATCTAGTCATGTGGTGTGAATTTTTAGACTAAACCATCATAATAGTCAAGAATCATCAATTATTTGTGGACTTGTACCTAATATATATAATTTAAATGATTGTTATTGTTTTCTCCTTTTTTTTTTTGAACTTTTATGTATTTTTTACTTTTATTATTATTTTTTGAGGACAACTTTTACATGTTATGTCTTGGTAATTATATATTCTGTCATAATATAAGATANGCTTGTAAGTCTAAGCTTAAAGAATATACACATCCATGTGCGCTGTTCAACACTTTATGAACGTTGTTGTCCGTCATCGCTCTAGCTTCATAACAATTCAAAATCGTGGAATTCCTTATAAAAATATATGCATAGGCTTTGGACAACAATGATTATATCTGTCAAAAAATTATCCAAGTAAATTACTGATGCCAACCATGTGCTAAAGAAATTGACTATATGTGCATTGAGTTGCGTCAATAGGTCTTGTATCAATTTGCTTGCTATGCATTACATATCCTTATCTCTCTTTTGTTCTCTCCTAAGAAGCATAGACACAGATAAGAACACAAACACAAACACAAACACGGATATAACACGACACAATACAGATACGTAGATACGACATTTTTTAAAAAAAGTAAGACACAGACACGTTAGAAATATGCTATAAATAATTGTGTTTTATATATAAAGTTATATAATTTATCACAAAAATACGGTGATAATGAATAATATATCATAAAAAATTCAGTACTTTGTACTAAGTAATTTTTATATCTAGTCATGTGGTGTGAATTTTTAGACTAAACCATCATAATAGTCAAGAATCATCAATTATTTGTGGACTTGTACCTAATATATATAATTTAAATGATTGTTATTGTTTTTTCCTTTTTTTTTTTGAACTTTTATGTATTTTTTACTTTTATTATTATTTTTTGAGGACAACTTTTACATGTTATGTCTTGGTAATTATATATTCTGTCATAATATAAGATACTTATAGTCAAAATTTTAAGCTTTGTTATTCACTTGTCAATACATGTTTATTGTTTAGTAATAGGTATGGTTTAAAGAAGTGTTGAACACATCACCAAAGATGTGTCGGACACATGTACGAGAGTGCCGGAAGAGTGTTGGTGTCCGACATGGATTCGTTTCCTTCTTGAGAGTGTCCGTGCTTTATAGGTTCTCTCTTTATGTTCTTCTAACTTTTAACTTTTGGTTGATTTGTCCATTTTTTAGAATTCCGGGCAAATTGCTCCATTGGATGAGATCATCAAACTGAAGGAGAAACATCGCTTCCGAGTTCTATTGGATGAGAGCAACTCATTTGGTGTGCTTGGCAATTCCGGAAGAGGTCTAACCGAGCACCATAGGGTTCCGGTATGTTTTCAATACATTTTGGGCTTATGAGTGATTGAACTTCCATATGTGGTTTTATGGTGGTGTGATTTGTAGATTGAGAAGATAGATATCGTAACTGCTGCCATGGGACATGCTTTGGCCACAGAAGGTGGATTCTGCACTGGAAGTGCCCGAGTCATTGACCACCAAGTATGCAAGAAGTATTTAGATTACAACTACATGAGAAATTGAAAATAGAGTTTAGAGATAATTTTTGATGTAATCAAATTACTCATTTGTGTCGAGTTATTGATTTTAATGCATCAACTTTTCTTTTCACCTGTGTGCTTATTATTCATGATGTGATACATATTTGCAGCGTCTCAGCAGCTCTGGCTATGTCTTCTCTGCCTCCTTGCCCCCATACCTAGCAAGTGCTGCAATTACTGCTATTGATGTCTTGGAGCAAAATCCTGATTTGATTACAAAGCTAAGGAAGAATATCACCATACTATGTAGAGGTGTTTACTTTTACCATTGTTTGCTCTTTTAGACTATATAAAGGTAGACTATATAAAGGTATGCCCATGACCAGTTTGTACCTGTTTGTTATGGTTTGCCTATTAGGATCCGTATCAGGGCTGTGAAGAAGTTTTATTTTATTTTTTACTGGTCTTAGCTTTTGTTTTGGCCCTAATATATTGATAAATTACAGGATTGTCAGATATACGAGGCCTTGAGATTGTGAGTGATCCACAATCCCCTATTGTTTTTCTCAGATTAAAGAAATCCACAGGTTCCTCGAATGATTTATCATTGCTTGAAGATATTGCTCACCGTGTAAGCTTCATGCAATCCTGATTTTAATATGTTGACATAAATACTTTCTCAAGCACTAATGCACTTTGCATTTGCAGGTGTTGAAGGAAGACTCTATTTTTGTGGTGACTTCCAAGAGATCCATGCTTGATAAATGTAGTCTGTCTATCGGAATTAAGTTGTTTGTCTCGGCCGCTCATACAGAATTAGATTTGACGAAAGCTTGTGAATCACTGAAAAGAGTTGCATCATTGGTCTTGATAGCTCGTGAGTAAATGTCACAGTTTAGATCTCACTTTTTGGGGGCATTCATAATCGAACCGTTTCTGTGATGCAAGCCAACCACAGTAAGATAGGATAATATTGTTTCACGCTTTCTATTAAGCTTGGGTTAGTGAATTTTAGTTTTGAATTACATTGCTTGTGATTTCTATCATATGCAACTTGCAATAGAGTGATTACAATGTAATATTTTCTCGAGATAACTAGGTTTTAAAGGTTGATTATCCATCAATGCTCTTCTTTTTCTCTTGTACTTTTTACTTTTTTGACTAATAGAAAGTAAAATTATTGAGTGTTCTATTTTATTCAGACATTATAATGTGTTCAAGTACATTTTTCTTTCATTCTCAATTATGGAATTCACTATATATAAGGGGATGCATATCAATACATGGTGGGTGCCTACTTTTGAGGAAAAATGTCATATTTAACTCTCGAATATGCTCAGAAAATGCTCTTCCAAAAACTCCAATTCTCGACATTCCATTACCCTTGGAGAATGGTTTGTCGTGTTAGGTCACCATTCTCCCTTTGTCCATAATTCTAGTACATGAACCTGACAATTGAGGGTTGAGCAGGATCTTGTTACATGTATCTATTCCAACATTGATGTCAATNTTCTTCCAAAAACTCCAATTCTCGACATTCCATTACCCTTGGAGACTGGTTTGTCGTGTTAGGTCACCATTTTCCCTTTGTCCATAATTCTAGTACATGAACCTGCCAATTGAGGGTTGAGCAGGATCTTGTTACATGTATCTATTCCAACATTGATGTCAATGCATAAACAAGGTTTGAAGAAATTTTTTACAGGATACCAGAAGTTGAATTTTGGGTTACCTCCATAAATTCAAAAGCTACCATAAATAAGAAGGTTAACATACACAAACGGGTACAATCTCTTACCTCTGTATATCTGTGTTTAGTTTTATGAGTGCATGTACTTGGAGGTTTTCCNGTAAATAAGAAGGTTAACATACACAAACGGGTACAATCTTACCTCTGTATATCTGTGTTTAGTTTTATGAGTGCATGTACTTGGAGGTTTTCCCATTTATATTAACCAAGGAGGGAGAGTGAAAGAGAGAAAAAAGAGAGGGGGGGAAGGGGGAGGTATGAAACTAGTAAAGATGTATCGGCAAGTCATATTAGACCTACGTCTCATGGGGCTTTAGACTTGAGCTTCAATTTCACAGTCAATAAATAAAATAGTTCTCATAATATATTTCACAATAAATGAAAGAAGAGAAATAAAGTAACGAAAAGAAACTAAAGACGAATTTCTTAAACTAGTCTTGACCTAAAGACAAGTTGGGGATAATTTCACTTTTGAAGGTAAGCAACTAAAATATTTAAAATGGTATTGAGCAAGAGAAATTGGAAACTAATTTAACACTAAAATTTTTTCTTGTTAATAACAAATTAGATACAGACAATATCAATTGCCACACATTTTATAATTGACCAAATGAGGAGGCCATACCCTATTTTTTCTTTCTTGTAACTTTATATTTATTAGAACTACAATTTTTTTTCAGTAACAATATTATATGATAACTAGAATAACCTGAATCAAAACCCCTTCATACACATTAAAAAAAAGTCATATTATTTTATATATTGTAACGTGAACAACTTAGATTGGAGTCTCTTCTCACTCTTCGCTACACACAAACAAATTGATGATTNATCATATTGTTTTATATATTGTAACGTGAACAACTTAGATTGGAGTCTCTTCTCACTCTTCGCTACACACAAACAAATGGATGATTTACAATTTACGCCCATAAAGTATACACATAATTTCTATTTAATACTTGAAATTTTAATTGATACAATTATATTTTTAAAGTTTTTACTGAGTTTCAATTCAGTCTTAGATTTATTAATTTATTCTAATAAGAAAGACGTCGCAGAACTTATCCATAAGGTATATCCGTCCCCCAAAAAATGTCTCCCTCAAAAAAATTACTATTTTTCTTTTATGTTCACAATATCACTCACTTTTATTCGGGATTGTTATACACATTTTTTTTACTTCTCAAAATTAAATGAAATAAAATAATATTTTCTAATCTACACGGAATAGATTTTTAGCAGACAATTATATTTTTTTACCCAAGTCATGTGTTGGTCACAAAAGACCATTCCATCATAATAAATTGATGAATTTTGATGTAAAGATTAAATTGAAACTCAATAAGGATTTGGTTGTTGCAATTGAAATTGTAAGGGCCAAATAAAAATTATGCTCATATTTTAAGGGTGTAAATTATAAGTTCCCCAAACAGAAATTGTACTTTTGCACCTTATACTTCTTAGCAAGTCACTAATATTCCTATAAATATTTGATGACTTGCCCAAGGCTCTTGTGATGACTCTGAATCACTTTGGGACAATTTGTCTATGTAACGGCGTCGTTTTCCTCCTCCAAACGCCGACTCCCGCGAAGCAAATTTTCCTCTCCTAACCATTTTAAAATCCCACCCATTTTCCCAACAACCAAACACATTCGAATTCAACTCACAGAAAACGGAGACGAAATGTTCACCCTCCAAATCCACACCGTCGACACCCCCAAGCCCCTCTTCACCACCACCTCCTCCGCCACCATACACGGCCCTAACCCTAATAATGACAATAATAGTAGCAGTTCAAACCCAACCGAGCTCCGAGGCGTAGCCCATCTCTTCCGCCACCTCCCACCCACCACAACCACAGCCACGGCCACCCCTTCCTCCAACACCACCGCCCGGACCACTCTCCTCTTTGTCGTTGCCGTGCCCAACTACCTTTCCACCAATGAATTCCTCCTCTTCTGTGGGTCCCATCTTGATCACTGCTGCGAACTCATTTTTCTCAGGTAACATAAAACCTCCTCTCTTTTGGAGTTCTTGTTCAAATTTTTGTGTGCGCGAGCGTGTACTATAAGAGATTTTCATTCTGATTTCTTTTTGAAATTTTAACAGTGGTTTTCTTTGTGTGTGGTTTTATACATGCGCATAGTTGAGTCCAAGTGGGTTACGTTTTCACATATGTTCATCTATTTGGTTTTTCGATTTTGATTTTTATCTTAAACGCAAATGCTTAGGTTATGTGTTAGTGTTTATGCGTGTATTGTAATGGGATTATGTATTTGGTATTGCAGGAATGATGCAATGGAGGATAGGTATAGTGTGTTAATTAGGCTTGAGAATCAGTTGACAGCAGATGGGTTCTACCATACTTTCGATGGGAGACGGTTTAAGCCCTTTGAGGTATTTGATCTTGCTTATATATATGTGTATGTGTGTGTGTGTGTGAATTTTAAAGATCTGAAAATTTATGTGTTATTTTACTTGCACTTTTTGTTGGTTTCTTAGGCTGAGGTCTGCCATATATACTTTACTCAGTCAGTGGAGTACACAGACTCAGCGGAGATTGCGGGCACACCTCCACCAGGTTTTACTGAATTGCCAACTTGTCCGGTTTGTCTAGGTCAGTTTCTGACTAATTTGCTACTTGCTAGTGCATGTATGTTCTTATGTACATTGTATATGCATGTGAAGAAGGAGTTTGATGATGCATTTAAAGCTATTTTTTATTTGTGAAGAGAAAAATCTTGTGACTTGGAAGTTTGTGGTAATTTGATTTGACTAGAGAGATTGGACCAAGACACCAGTGGGATACGGAGTACACTATGCGATCATTCATTTCATTGTGCTTGCATTTCAAAATGGACCTATTTATCTTGCCAGGTTAGTTTGTCCTCTTTTATCTATAATTGGGTCAGTAGAATTTTTGTGGCATTATGTAGAGGGCCTTCTTATTCTGGTGCTTAGCTAGTTTGCAGTCCTTAAACCTAGATCCCTAACTTTAGAGTCTTTATATTCTAGTTTTGTGGAATTGGAATTTTCTTGGTAAGAAGGCGGAGTCAATATATTACCTCCTACCAGTTGAAATCTATTATCATCTATATTTTAGTGTCTACTCTTGTAAGTGTAGTGAAGCTCTTATATTAACTTCTTTTACCTGTTGAAAAAGTTGTCACTTTGATTTGTGTTATCCTAGTTGGTCAATTTAATTTTAAATCAATGCTGATTCAGAGTACTGTATTTAAATGAACAGCTCACATGATAAATGCCTGTATAGAAAGGACCATTTTTGAGAGAGCATTAAAACTTGTTGCAGGATTAAAGTATAATGGTACTGCTTTAAAATGATGTGTGGATGTTCAATCATCACTTAAAAACCTCACCTTGCAAGAACCTGGTGGTTCTTTATGATGTGCAGATTGTAGATGTTCAAGTATCACTTAAACTGTTATTTACTATTGATGTTGTATTGGTGTCTTTTTCATAAAAAATGTTATATTGGTGATCTAGTTCAATACCATGCCAGCTGGTTCAGTGATTTTCATTGCTCATTTGGATTCCTGTTTTAAATAAAATTTCTTTTACTGATGTTCTTTTTTATGCCCACTTATAGTGATATATAATACAATTGATCTGTTAATTAAGAGTATACAGATACATAAACATTGAGGAGGCTAGAGATCAAGGTGATAATACCATTTTTTCTATAGACTTCTTCTATAAGCAAAATATACATGATGTCTTTTATAACACATTGTCATGCAGTATGATTGAGTAAAGGACCCAAGGAAGGGATGTTTCTGGAATTTATGCTATGTAGAAGAGAACGTTCCATTTGAACAATTATTTATTTTGGGGTACCTCGTCTCTTTTTTTTTCAAAAAAATTGGGGGGGGGAGTGTGGGGAGAAATGACAAGAAGATATTGGAACATCAATTTGAAAGAGGTGATGGAGGCAGGAGTTGTAGCTCTAGGAGAAAAGGAGAATAAAAAAGGAAATAAAGAGTGTCACACCAAAATCTTGAGTTTTAGACTGTATCTATTCTCATGCAAAGCAGTATAATAGAAGATTAGCTACATTGGATAAATGCAGTGTGCCTCCAGTTTGCACAGTATAAATTATTATTTTGCCATGCTTTGATCTTTTTTGTCCTTGATGAACTAATATCTATGCATTGCCAACTTATATGCATAAATCTATTGACCGATTTAAATACTGTGCATAACATCTCTTATTACCTTATATTTGTTCATATTGAAAACTTTATAGAACTTCGGTTACTACTACCTTATATCAAATCCAATATGTGTAATTAATCTTAGATATGGATGCCAACTTAATGTTACTTGAGTAATGTGTTGGAGGGATAGGAACGACTTTATGGAAGGATGTGCGATAATAGTTTTTTATTTGTTGGCAGGTCTGTCGACTTTGCCAGCGGCATGATGAGAAACCGGCCTGTGCCGTTTGTGGATCATTAAAAAACCCCTGGGTTTGCCTGATATGTGGTTTTGTGGGATGTGGAAGGTATAATAGTAATTTAATCTTCTTCACAATATAATACTCGGTTTACCGTGCATTTGATTAGTAATAGTTTCCTTTATTTTTACTTATGTTAAAGACAATGTCTACTGAATGTAGGTACGAAGAAGGGCATGCCAAAAACCATTGGAGTGGTACGCAGCATTGTTATTCTCTTGAATTGGAGACACAGCAGATTTGGGATTATGTTGGAGACAACTATGTTCAAAGATTGAATCAGTCAAAAGCTGATGGCAAGTCAGTCATGACGAATGCTCACTGTGTGTCGCTTGATGGAGAATGTGGCACTTGTGCGAATAATGAGGATTCTGGAATTGGTGATGCACTTTTGAGCAGCAAAGTTGAAGCGGTACTTTTTCTTTATCGTCTTATGATAATAGGAAACTATCTGTCAGGAAAAATACTAATAGCTATAACATGAAGATGCTCTTCAGGTCCGCTTACTGAAATCCCATAGAAAGATTGTCATACTGACTTCAACCCATAAGTTTGTGACTTTGTGCTTCTCTGATTCTTTTTCGACCTGCACATTTATCCTACGGCCAGGCCTTTTTTTTTTCTTTTTTGGAAGATGGGGGTGTTGAAACCTCCAAGGCAAAGTTAAACTTATATTCTTGTCTGTGTTAAAGAATTATTGCATCTTCAATTATGTCGTAGGTTATTGCTTGTTTTCTAATGTAGATGTCATATTAATTGATTTATATACTTGTGATAGATTGTGGATGAATACATTCATCTTCTTGCAACTCAGCTGGAGACTCAAAGACAAGTAAGTAACAGATCTTGTACCCTGATCTGCACTCTCCGTTAGTCGATATGTTGTTTGATCTTCACTTGTATATTTCTTTGATCGGAAATTAAAAGAACTTAATGCATTAGAAGGGCTCTGTTTTATATAATTAAATGCTAGGAAAATATATGTTTACGTATTTGTCACTAGATGTTTAAGGCAGTGAATGAGCACTCTTGAAGGCCCGATTTAAACAATGTAGTGTGATGAAACCTTAAATAAAAATGTGTTTTCTTTCAGCATTACGAATCTCTACTCGCTGAGGCAAAGACTAGTAANTTGTTTTATATAATTAAATGCTAGGAAAATATATGTTTACGTATGTGTCACTAGATGTTTAAGGCAGTGAATGAGCAGTCTTGAAGGCCCGATTTAAACAATGTAGTGTGATGAAACCTTAAATTAAAATGTGTTTTCTTTCAGCATTACGAATCTCTACTCGCTGAGGCAAAGACTAGTAAGGAAAGCTCCATATCCAATGCAGTGGATAAGGCTGTATTTTCAAGGATGCAGGATATGCAATATAAATTGGAAAAATNAAGGAAAGCTCCATATCCAATGCAGTGGATAAGGCTGTATTTTCAAGGATGCAGGATATGCAATATAAATTGGAAAAATATCCCGAGGAAAAGAAGGCTGTTGCCAATGTGAGTTTCTTTTTTATCATAGTTAAGCTCTTGGAATCTGTATAATTCATGGTGGAAAGAATATATGGCTGACACTGTCATTGTGAATCTTTCTAATGATTATCTTTAGCAGTTTTTAACCCTGATAAAATCTTTTCTTTTTGTAATTAGAGGAATCGCGATCTTATGAAAAATGATGAAGCCCTGCAAAAAAAGTTAAAGGAAATTCAAGAGAGGTACTGTCATCTTCTCCATTGACATGCATGTTAAGTTTGCGCGTCTTGTTCATCTGTATTGGTTGATGGGACAGTAATACTACTTTTGCTTTCTAAACAACATCGTGATACTTTCTTATGATTTAGTTTACTGTGGGTACGGGAAATTCTATGTAGTCTTTAGTTGTACTTGTGAAACGACTTCTTCCTTTNTCTAAACAACATCGTGATACTTTCTTATGATTTAGTTTACTGTGGGTACGGGAAATTCTATGTAGTCTTTAGTTGTACTTGTGAAACGACTTCTTCCTTTTTTCTGATTTCTGGTTAATTTTTTTTTTTTTGGGAAGGGAAAGGGGGAAGGGAACATGAACCCTTAACCAAGAAAATGCCTTTACAAATCAAAGAGTACCATTGGACCAACGGCCCATTGGTTTCNTCTTGAAGGCCCGATTTAAACAATGTAGTGTGATGAAACCTTAAATAAAAATGTGTTTTCTTTCAGCATTACGAATCTCTACTCGCTGAGGCAAAGACTAGTAAGGAAAGCTCCATATCCAATGCAGTGGATAAGGCTGTATTTTCAAGGATGCAGGATATGCAATATAAATTGGAAAAATATCCCGAGGAAAAGAAGGCTGTTGCCAATGTGAGTTTCTTTTTTATCATAGTTAAGCTCTTGGAATCTGTATAATTCATGGTGGAAAGAATATATGGCTGACACTGTCATTGTGAATCTTTCTAATGATTATCTTTAGCAGTTTTTAACCCTGATAAAATCTTTTCTTTTTGTAATTAGAGGAATCGCGATCTTATGAAAAATGATGAAGCCCTGCAAAAAAAGTTAAAGGAAATTCAAGAGAGGTACTGTCATCTTCTCCATTGACATGCATGTTAAGTTTGCGCGTCTTGTTCATCTGTATTGGTTGATGGGACAGTAATACTACTTTTGCTTTCTAAACAACATCGTGATACTTTCTTATGATTTAGTTTACTGTGGGTACGGGAAACTCTATGTAGTCTTTAGTTGTACTTGTGAAACGACTTCTTCCTTTTTTCTGATTTCTGGTTAATTTTTTTTTTTGGGGAAGGGAAAGGGGGAAGGGAACATGAACCCTTAACCAAGAAAATGCCTTTACAAATCAAAGAGTACCATTGGACCAACGGCCCATTGGTTTCTGATTAATTAACCAGTACAGTTGGATATGAAATGAATACTAATATCTAGCATTAAAATGCTTCCTATGCCAATTCCAGACCAAGTAATTTTAATTCTCCATATTATTTCAGTGAAAGTTCATCACTGAGGTCAAGAGACCAAAAGATACTGGATTTGGAAGAACAGGTATTTGTGTGTGTTACCATCTGTATGAGCTTCTATTTAACCATCACAATTTACAAGCCTTGGTTTCATTAAATTGTACATGTTGGTCACAGATTAGAGACATGAAGATTTATGTCGAAGCCCATAGAATGCTTGCTAACTCAACCGATTCAGATGGCATCAAAGGTGGGACACTTTTGCCGGTACAAGCAAACCAGTCATCTCCAGGCAATACCAAAAGGCGGACGAAGCCAGGTCGAAGACGGAATTGATAATCAGAGTCTCTCTTCAAATCCCATTCCAGTGTGTGCATGTTTGTGTTTTTTCTGCAGTTTTACCATATTTCATCTTTCATACCTTNTGTTTTATATAATTAAATGCTAGGAAAATATATGTTTACGTATTTGTCACTAGATGTTTAAGGCAGTGAATGAGCAGTCTTGAAGGCCCGATTTAAACAATGTAGTGTGATGAAACCTTAAATAAAAATGTGTTTTCTTTCAGCATTACGAATCTCTACTCGCTGAGGCAAAGACTAGTAAGGAAAGCTCCATATCCAATGCAGTGGATAAGGCTGTATTTTCAAGGATGCAGGATATGCAATATAAATTGGAAAAATATCCCGAGGAAAAGAAGGCTGTTGCCAATGTGAGTTTCTTTTTTATCATAGTTAAGCTCTTGGAATCTGTATAATTCATGGTGGAAAGAATATATGGCTGACACTGTCATTGTGAATCTTTCTAATGATTATCTTTAGCAGTTTTTAACCCTGATAAAATCTTTTCTTTTTGTAATTAGAGGAATCGCGATCTTATGAAAAATGATGAAGCCCTGCAAAAAAAGTTAAAGGAAATTCAAGAGAGGTACTGTCATCTTCTCCATTGACATGCATGTTAAGTTTGCGCGTCTTGTTCATCTGTATTGGTTGATGGGACAGTAATACTACTTTTGCTTTCTAAACAACATCGTGATACTTTCTTATGATTTAGTTTACTGTGGGTACGGGAAACTCTATGTAGTCTTTAGTTGTACTTGTGAAACGACTTCTTCCTTTTTTCTGATTTCTGGTTAATTTTTTTTTTTTTGGGAAGGGAAAGGGGGAAGGGAACATGAACCCTTAACCAAGAAAATGCCTTTACAAATCAAAGAGTACCATTGGACCAACGGCCCATTGGTTTCTGGTTAAATAACCAGTACAGTTGGATATGAAATGAATACTAATATCTAGCATTAAAATGCTTCCTATGCCAATTCCAGACCAAGTAATTTTAATTCTCCATATTATTTCAGTGAAAGTTCATCACTGAGGTCAAGAGACCAAAAGATACTGGATTTGGAAGAACAGGTATTTGTGTGTGTTACCATCTGTATGCGCTTCTATTTAACCATCACAATTTACAAGCCTTGGTTTCATTAAATTTTACATGTTGGTCACAGATTAGAGACATGAAGATTTANTGCTCTTATTGGTGGATATCCGTTGGGCACGAAAGTTGGTTATACACGGTGGACAAAGGTATGGGAGATATGTAGACAGTCTCACTCCTGCTGGTGGCTCCACTTTGGGCACAAAAATAGCTTGAAGTTGGAATTTATGCACACCAGTACTCGTTCATCTACTTCTATGCAAGTATTTTTATTTTTTATTTTTTTTTGTGGGCGTGTGGTTAAAAAATTGCTACATAAATAAATAAGCGTGAATTAAGACCCTTGTATATCTAATGACTATCTCCAACATGATATAAAACTCGCGATTTTGTTTAAATAATAATTTTAAAAATTATATATAAAACTTACATGTTCAATAGCATTGAATAGTCCAGGTTATTACTCGTGTATGCAATGGTTGTATACTAGTTGTCTTTTCTTGATGGAGTCAATGTCTTTTTAATACTCCCACCAGGCAAGTGCTTGGCCTAACTTTCAAACCCCACATGCAGAGCTTCATTATGAAACAGTCACCTTCCAAAAAAGGGAACAGAAGAGACAATTGCTTGGAGGGTTCAGATCATAACTGCCCAGAAAGATTCTAGCTTACTCTTAACTATTAAAACTGTATCACGTTGGGGCTCGTACTTGTACAACGGGAGTAATCAAACATTAACGCCCCTAATCCTTTCCATTTAATAAACTGACCCATCGACCACCCGAGGTAAGGGTGTCCATGGATCGAGTTATCAACAAGTCCCGTTATCCGGCATGAAAAAATAGGCCTAAAACCTGATAATTGGCCTGCCTGATTCCAAGCCCATTATCTTTAAAAAGAGGGTTTGAGTTTATCCTCAAATACATTATAACATGCCCGAAGCCCATCTGTCAAGTCCGGCCACCATTCCTTTGAAATAAAATTACACTTTTAGACCATTAAATTTAAAATTTTAAAATAAATCTCAATTTTGAAATTTGAAATTTTAAAAACTTAGTTACTATAAATAATGTATTATTTTCTTTAATACATTAAACATACATGTTTTAAAAGGTAGAGCAATACAATAATAAATNTAAAAAGAGGGTTTGAGTTTATCCTCAAATACATTATAACATGCCCGAAGCCCATCCGTCAAGTCCGGTCACCATTCCTTTGAATAAAATTACACTTTTAGACCATTAAATTTAAAATTTTAAAATAAATCTCAATTTTGAAATTTAAAATTTTAAAAACTTAGTTACTATAAATAATGTATTATTTTCTTTACTACATTAAACATACATGTTTTAAAAAGTAGAGCAATACAATAATAAATAAGTNTTAGTTACTATAAATAATGTATTATTTTCTTTAATACATTAAACATACATGTTTTAAAAGGTAGAGCAATACAATAATAAATGAGTAGATTTCTACCTAATTATGATGTATTCATTATATTAAAAAAAATTCACCCCCTAATCAAAAATAAAATTTATTATTATTTTATTTTTATTTATTTTGATTCTACTTTTGATTCAAAAATATAATTTACACAAATATAAAGTTATAAAAATATTTATTATTTTTAAATAAAATTTTATATAAAAAAAACCCGCGAACAAACCCACCCACAAGTCCACCCAATAGACTTGCGGGTTAGACTACATGTAACCTACTCCTATTTGAAGTCTGGCCCGACTCACATGATAACTTACTTGAGTAAAAATTTGGGCTTACACTACCCAAACCCGGCCTTAAAATAATTTCACGGGCCTAACCTGGCCCAGCTCATGGACATCCCTAACCGAGTAATTGTTGATCGTAAATGTATTCTCGNCCCAAACCCGGCCTTAAAATAATTTCACGGGCCTAACCTGGCCCAGCTCATGGACACCCCTAACCCCTAACCGAGTAATTGTTGATAGTAAATGTATTCTTGTCACCCAGATCTTTTTTTTGGAGTACCAAAACAAAAATAACATGAGCGAGAGAGAGGAGCACAAGTCTAGATACCAGCCACCAATAGTGAGCCTATAACAGATCAAACTACATAGCATTGTACATGAACGAAAAACAATAATTCTTGAAAGAACAAATTAATTGACATAACTTCTAACAGAACTTACCGAAAAAAAAACTTATAACAGAACCTTTGAAGCAACTAAAGTTATTTCTATGATAAAAATCACCAGGCTAATTCATCACTCTGCTGAATTCCTCCAACAAGTTGAAAGAACACCACATTCCCTCTTTGCTAGTGTCATCTTATGCATTCACACCATGAACCCAAACTTTGCTCAACATCCCACAGGACAAAATGGCGGCATGTCTCAGTTTTGAATTGATCTGATGCTACCCTCTAAACTGGCTCGACAAACTGAGTTCAAGTATCCTACAGTTATACTACCCAAATCTTGCATCTTCCCTTGAAAATAAAACTGATGGGAAACCGTGCAAAACCACATGAAAGCAGTGGATACGATACACTCATGGTTCAAGGTAAACAACATGCATGCACAAGAGACTTGTCACCTTTGGTGTTGATCTGCACTGGCTGCACCAGAAGTGGTGCTAGGCCCAGCACCGTTTTCAAGAGGAGGTGAGGTACCCCATTTGCCTTCTGATTCTAGTGGCTCGAGTATACAGACTGCACCATCAGTAAGTCCTAATGCAAACTGATTAGGTTCGGATGGATGCGCAGCAATGACAAGCGGATGGGCCCTTGAACTGCAGAATTACAATTATTAAAAATTTAGAAGAAAATTTGAAAGAGAAATGCAACAAAATCACCTTTATAGGTAGTCAAAAAGTATTTACCTCGGATTGTTAGGTAGATAGGAAGCAGGATTAATTCGACATCTTAATCTAAGTGTTGAAGCAGTGAGAATGCCTACACTTCCATCTTCAAAACTGACATATATTGATTGGCTATCACAGGAATACGTAGCATGTGTAATTGGCCCACTTGCTTCTCGAGGAACCCACTATTACAGAAAGATCAATTGTTAATAAAAAAACATTATAATTTATGGTGAAAACTATACCCTTGTGAAACATGATTCATGTAGCAGAACCCAAAAATGTTAGGAGAAGGTCTGTTAAGTTGTACTCGTACAATACACATGCTGATAAAGTATAAAACAAGATGCNTTACAGAAAGATCAATTGTTAATAAAAAAACATTATAATTTATGGTGAAAACTATATCCTTGTGAAACATGATTCATGTAGCAGAACCCAAAAATGTTAGGAGAAGGTCTGTTAAGTTGTACTCGTACACAATACACATGCTGATAAAGTATAAAACAAGATCCATGCAATGGCATCAATTATAGGCTTATCAAATAGCTCACCACGAAATTAGGGACAAAACCAGTGCTGGTAATAAAAATAAAATACTTGACACAATTTGAAAGTGAAGATGTTTAATATAAATAAGCTACATTCGGGGAAAATATAAATAACCTAATTAAGAACATACACACCTGCTTAAGACATTCCATTTTAGGTGCTTCATATATGGCTATCTGAGTTTCATGTACAGCTAGTAAATGTGTCTGATCTTGGTGAAATTGTACACGGGTATCTGCAATAGGAGCAGCTGCACGCCCAGCTGGAATCTGCAAGTATTTACTTGTTTGCTTCTCCCATCCATCTGTGTTCCAAACACACAACTGTAGAAACAAAATGGCATCACGGGATAAATAATTCCAATACGCAAATTATTGCCAATTTATGAACTTTTCATGAAATGAAGAGCATGGACTACAAGGAACAAAGTAAACATGAAATACACTAAATAAGGTGCTTGTCAGAGACAAATCTGAAATACAAAAAAGCCCTGAAACAGTCTAAGACGAAATATGTATTTTACTTAATATAATAGTAATTTAATTTCACCCTCCAATCAAGTCTACAATACGTGTGGAGAGCTCCAAAGAAAGCTATGTGTGAACAAAATTTATGGTTTTTTGGCTTTCATAATTGTAGATTACTCTGCTTTTCAAGTGGAAAAGCATCCAAAAGCTACACAAGGCCTCCAAACTCTTACCTGTGAATCAGCTCCAGAAGATATAAGCACATTAAGAGAATTAGAAAAGGCAAGGCCTGTTATTCGTTTTTGATGACCTTTGAGCTTGGTTTTAACCTGTGCAAATGCAATATCAGAATTTAACATGCTTATCTATCAAGAAATTTGACTCTCAAACTTTATGCTTCAATCTAAATTGGGGACAACCTCATCAACCCGGACATTATATATTTGGATAGAAGAGTCCTCCATGCCAATGGCGATAATATTATTGTCTTCCGGATGAAATGCCAGAAATGTCGCTGCTGGTGGAGGGGGCATGAATGTTGTCATTGTCTGCATTGGTGACAGCAAAACAGTAAATGTACCATCGGAAAAAATGAGTTAATGTACAAATAATGAAGATGAGCTGCAGAAAATTTCCGCCCATACAAAAACATCCCACCAAAATTTTTTCCAAGTTCAGTCATTTAGCCTAGAATTGTCATCTATATTATCTTCATCCACCATATATCATTTTGAAAAAATAACTTCCATTACGCCCAGAATAAGGAAGAGAAGGGAGGAGGGGGGGCACCCTTCCAAGAAAAATTAAGCATGGCCAAACTCCATAGATTGAGCAATTATTCTGCCACTAATTTGCATGAGTATTAAACATCCCAAATTGTCAATTAGGACCTGGAGGATAAAGCCTTGCATAGAAGTAAAGAGCTTAGGAAAACTGTCATTATTCATCACAAGTTCCCACATCATAATTTCCTTTTTTTTTGCCAATAGATCCCTCCATCATGACTGCTAAGCAGCAGAGCTGCAGAAGTAAGA